CTAAACGTAAATTTTACCGTACGAACAGACCGTGCTATATATTCAAATGGAAAACAATGAAATTATTATATGTACTGAAACAATGACTTGTATTTTGTTTTTGTCCTTCAACAGTTTGAAAAAGAAACGGCCACATCGACAATTCTTCTGCCTGATATTGAAAGTGGCGTGGTTACGGTTACCGAAAATCCACAGGTTGATGTGAACACAACGGACACACCGACACCAACACGTAAAGCCAAAAGCAAGAGCAACAAATCGATCATGACTCGTGTTCTAATCCAAGCATTTTCGATGACATTCTTGGCCGAATGGGGTGATCGTTCACAATTTACCACCATCATTCTGGCGGCACGTGACAATTTATACGGTGTTATAGTTGGCGGTGTGTTGGGACATTCATTTTGCACCGGATTAGCTGTGATTGGCGGTCGTATGATCGCACAACGCATCTCCGTTCGAACCGGTAAAAATTTTCTACCATTCAAACGATATCATTTAGCCATTCAATTCAAATTAGACTGGAAAATTAATTGAAAATAATCTTAAATATTTTCTCTTTCTCTTTCGCTCTTTCGCTCGCTCTCTCTCTCTCGCACGCGCGCGATTTTCTCAAACCAGTGACCATTGTTGGAGGTATCGTGTTCATTTGCTTTGCATTCAGTGCATTCTTTTTCAATTCAAAGGCAGATGAGAATCCAAGTATAAAGCCATAATTAACGGCCACACCGATCCCATTCAACAATTTGACGACGCAACAAAACCCAAGCGAATTTATTCTTAATGCAACTCATGCAACTGCTACGAAATTTTATTCACATTCATTGTATTTATAAAAAAAAAATAGAGATATGCGACACACACACACACACACAGAGACATACACAGTTCGGCCGTACAACAAAAATCACCCGTTTTTCTTTCGTCGTTATTCATTTTAGAATATATGAATTTGTTGTTATCGATGTTCTAAGTTGATCACTCAAGCGATCATTACATTGGATCATTTAGTTTACCGATCAAAATTTGGTTAATCCAAAATTTAAAAAAAAAATTGAAATTCAAAATCTAAAATAGGAAAACAAGTTGTTTTATGTAGATCAAAATTATTAGATGGTTTGAACAAAAAAAAAAAAAAAAAAAATAAAAACTCGAACAATAATTTTCTCAATTGCTGAACCGAAAACCAATGCAATTGATGGCTTTAATTGGGATATTTTATTGAATTCATGTTCGAATGGAAGAGAAAGGAAGTGTTCTTGAACAATAAGATTTTTTTTTTTAATTTGGGAATAAGAATCATTTGGTCGATAAATTGCAAATCTAAACAGGCTTAGTCGCACCCAAACACGTTTCAACCGCTTTCGTATATTGTCCTGAACTATCCTTTCTCACTCAAAATACATAATTGTTAAATGTGATCTGCTGGTAGACAAATATGTAGAATTCATATGGAACAAAAGATACCCGCGACAGACGTCGACAGGAAGATAAAAAAAAAAATTGATTGGAAATGTGCGCATAAATGAAAACGGAAATTATTTTATGAATATAAAACACCTGTCTAGAAGATGGAAAAAAAAAATTGAACAAAGAAATGAAGATGGAACAACGCTATTATAAAACACTTGTTGCCTATAAAATAGTTGTTGTTTATACGAATCAAATGATTAAGTGTTATTATTTTGTACAAAGTTCAAAACAAAAGCTAAATAAACAAAAAAAAAAGAAATGAACAAGAAATTGAAATAAAAATCAAGTATTCAATAATTTTGTTATTTATTGATCATTACTCGTTTTTATTGTCTTTTTTTTTTAACTACATTGAAGCAATTGTGTTGCAAATTAGAATCTTTGATTCGAATGCAATTACTTTTATTTTAATCGAAACTCGCTTTTTTTAGAAATAATTTTTCATCTATTTATTCTATTTTTGTTTTATTCATATTTTGTACTTTTTACGATAACATTCAGTTTCAATATTTATTATCAGCTGTTGTTCACATATTTTTATTGGGTTTATGATACTCGTAAAACAATTCGAACAGTGGGTATTTCTTAGCTATTTTTCAACATGTTTTCTCTATACAACGTAAATTTCTTCAAAAATAACGCCAATCTAATAATAAATTTGTACACAGCTTTTGTTATTCTTAAAATACAGCAAGATAAGCATTGTACGTGTCTCCATAGAAATTGTGTTGTCCTTGATGTTTTCGATTTTCGTTCAAAATGCAAATCAAAAGTAGAAAAGCAATCGAAATCGATCGGATCTACAACTAAATTAAGTAATTGACAAATGGCGAATCTAATTGTTTTAGATTTTTCAATTGAAATACTATATCAAAATCGATTAGTTTGAGCTTATATCTCAACGACCATTCAATATTGTCGCGTAGGGTCATCATTGCATTCACAATTGGATTTTGCACGAAAATGTTTTGGTTGCTGTGTTTATTCCTGAATACGCTGCTGTATTCATCGGTGATGGGATCAGGTAAAATTGAATTTTCAAAAGAAAAAACAAAGTTGGATTCATTGTTCGCCTCACTCATTTTCAGCGGAGCAATTTTCTGGTGTATCTTCACGAATTGTCGGTGGCAATGTGGCCGACATAAAGGATTTCCCATATGCAGTTGTTATATATTTGTTTTATTAGCATCCTGAAATGCCTGGCTTTACACAGAGATGTGGTGGTGTGATCATTTCAGAGGAATGTATTTTGACCGCGGCTCACTGTTTTAATAATTATTTGGCAAGCGGGATGTCAACAAACAAATTTTGTTCGAAATGTTGTTCGTTGACACCTCTATCTTTGGAAAATAACTATCAAACAGTACATAAAAAATAGTTTTCCATTACAGTATTGCATTTCGAGGGGCCGCATTTGTTCAAGCTGGTGCCAGCGCGACTGTGGTAGACAACGCGATGTATTCATTCTACGAATATGTAGAAAAACATCCACAATTCAATCGAGCCACTTTTGATAATGACTTTGCACTTCTAAAGCTCGAGCAACGACTGACTTTTTCCGATAAAATTAAGAAAGTTGAATTAGCCAATCATGACGATAAAATCAATCCGGGCGATCTATGTTGGCTGGTTGGATGGGGTAAAAAAAATTCAAAATTTATTCAGTAAAATACCTTGAAATAAGCAAAACAATATGATTTTGTTGGTATTTGTAGGAGCTTTATATGGAGACAGCAGACAAGTAAAAACCATTCACTACGGCAACATAGCTCAAACAGATTTGCTTCATAAACTTTTGGTGCAAATTTATGATAATTCATTTTGTAATAAAATTTATAAAGACCAATGGACGGAAAATATGATTTGTGCCGGCCATGATAACCAATCGAAGGGCCAATGCAATGGTGATGCTGGTGGGCCATTAATTTGTCATAATAAGCTGTTTGGCATTCTTTCGTTTGGTAAGGAAAACAAAGAATGTGGCAGACATCCAGATGTTTATGGGCGTGTTAAAAAAGTTCGTAAATGGATCAAAGAGAAAACGGGAATAAACTCATGAGGGAAATAAACAATAATAACAATTTTATGATCAGTTTGCACGAGAGGTGTCTTGAATATGCGTTATAGTACGATACTTTTGTCAAAAGAAACTTTTATGTTGTGCACAATTAAAATGAATTGGGACTATGTCTAACCAAAAAGCAAAAATTCAGTTCAAAATCCGATGTTTTGTTCGAGAAGTTTGATTTCCAAATTTTGAACTAGAAGAAATTATACTTGAATTTCGACAAACGCGTTCAGATGAAAATATTCAAAAAAAAACTTTGTCAACAATAAAGCCAAAATGAAATTGAAAAATTTCCTTGGTTTATATTAAAGTATATTTGTCCACAGCTTAAATCGTTGCGTACTAGTGCAGAAGAAACCATTTCGATACTGCACCAACAACTTTTATTTATTTTTTGAAGAGGATTTGGTCAAAAAAGCCACAAAAACATCGTAGATCTTATATTTACAGCAATATTTCAATTAATCATTTCCGACAAGAACTTTAATCGAATTGATATCTATTTTTGCCGTGATTTTGTTCTCGGTTTTATTCCAGTTTCATTTTCAATCCATTTAAGAACGGATCGTATATTCTATAAGAATAAACATCTGGATATTCACCACACTCCTCCACACTGCTGTGCTTTCTAAATGATGAGATGCCAAACAGCTTGTCATGGCAAATTAATGGCCCACCGCTATCACCTCCACATGTGCCTGTTACATTTTCCTTCGTTCTTATAACCGGCACATATCATTCGTGTTCAAGTATTGGCACTTCAAGCTCATGAAGGAATTCTTCTTCTGGGTCTATATTGGTTGAAACCATTTCTAACAACAAAAAACAATTGGTTTTGTTTTGGTTATGTAATTTGTTGTACACTTTTGGAATTGAAAGGGAGATTCATACCCCATCCGACTACCCAACAAGTATCAGCCGGTTTGATTTTTTCATCTTCAAGTGGCAAATCAATGTAATTTATTGTCCCAGAATAATCCAATTTTCGCTTAAGTTTTAGAAGTGCAAAATCATAATCGTAAGTTTCTGAATCATATTTTGGATGTTTAATAGCTGGTTCGAGGAATGCATACGTTCCGCTGCCTATCAGAATTTCTGTGGAACCAGCCTAAGCAAATATGACTCCTATGTCTGGAAAACTTTATTTAGAAACTATATTTGTATTTGTACGGTTTGATTTTCACGTAATTGGTTTGCGAAATACTCAAAACAGTGGGCTGCACTTAGAAGCCACTCCTTGCCGATGAATGCGGCAGCACAAAAATATTCTTTAACAGAACTTTCACTATCACGATAATATACATATGTTGAAGCTGTATATGGATACTTTGTTATATTGACCCAATTTCCACCGACAATCCTTGGAGATGCACCAGAAAATTGCTTCGCTGCAAATGAGTGAGGTGAACAATGAATCGAACTTTGTTTTTTCTTTCGAAAATTCAATTTCAACTGATCCCATCACCGATGAATACATCAGCGTATTCAGGAATAAACACAGCAACCAAAACATTTTCGTGCAAAATCCAATTGTGAATGCAATGACGATCTAAACCTACGCGACAATATTGAATGGTCGTTGAGATATAAGCTCAAACTAATCGATTTTGATATAGTATTTCAATTGAAAAATCTAAAACAATTAGATTCGCCATTTGACAATTACTTAATTTAGTTCTAGATCCAATCGATTTCGAATGCTTTTCCACTTTTGATTTGCATTTTGAACGAAAAACATGAAGGACAACACAATTTCTATGGAGACACGTACAATGCATATCTTGCTGTTTTCCTTCCAATTTTAAACATTTTAAAAGGCGTGTACTCAATTACCATCAAAAATCTGTGTCGATTCGTCAAAATTCCAATCAAATAAATAAACAAACGATCGAAAAGAAATTGTTTACTATAAAATGTTGGTTCCAATATTTATTGTATCAATCAACTGTCAAAAAAAATTTGTTCTGTATTTTTCTTCGTTTATGCTTAAAATGCTAGTTCGGTATGGATTAAGGCGATTCGGCCGATTTATTTTATACCCCTCAACTATCTGCTGAGAGATGAAAATAAAACCCATATAAGATTCATAGTAATGTTTATATGTGGTTGTATCACTTTTAGCACCGTATGGCTATGGCTATGGCTATGGTATGTTTTGTTTTGTTGAGCACTCTCGATTTCTCATGAGCAATATCCGGTGTGTGTGTGTATACTCGTTTGGAAAATGATGCATTTCAGTGTTCATCGATTCGTTTTCGTGCTTTGGCCAGACACGCTAAAAGCTCTGAAGTTCTCGTTGTCTTGTACTGTTGAAAAAGGAAATGATTTAAAACCAAATTAAGTTAGCAATCAAATTCGAAAAGAAACTCAACTAAATTGATAGAAAATCGAGGTGGATTCAAACTTACGCCAGACACATTGCGTTGAACGGTGATTTGGGAAAGTAGGCGACGGCCTTCGTCGATGCCACAGTGATCTTCGAGCGTATCGCGATCCAGTGAAAAGAGTTCATGGCCATTCAAGTAGCCAAATTTCGTGACAACATATTCGGAAAAGCCTTTTGCTTTGAGCCATTGTTTCACATTGGCCGGCGATGATGTTGGCTGAATGAAAATCTCCGGCGTTTTATGAATATCCCAATTGTGGCTCTTTTCACGATACAATTTCAATACTTTTGCTAGTTCATCGTTCATATTTTCACGATTATCGCTGCTGATCGAGTTAAGTGTTGTCGCATCTTTTGCTTTGTTCGATATTTTAGTCCGTTCATTATCTTGAACTGAGTGGAAGAAAAAAAAAAAAAAAAAAAGAAACGGAAACAAATTACAATGAAGCGTTTTGCGTCTCAAGAAACGTGAAAAAGATGATCATAAAATGACATCGATTTCCATTTCCACTAAATGCGTTTTAAAGTTATACCTGAATTGTGTTTGTTCACGTGCACTGTGGCTGTTGTTTGAACGGTCGCAATTTGATTCTGAACATTGTTGTTTTGTTTGTCCTGTTTGGTTAAATCGGCAAGGAATGGTGGCGGTTTTGGTATCACCGCGATATCGGCATACTGTTGCTGCTTCTTATCTATTTCGGTCCAAAAACGTTATCGAACCCGTGTTTGTGTGTGTGTGCATGGGGCAAACAAATGGAATCGACAATTTCAGTTAGTACGAAAGTAAGATATCAAAATTTATGACTGTTTTCAACAACTCTTGCTTTTTTGGCGAATGCATTTTATAGACGAAATGTAACGACGCCATAACTATGTGTTTATTCTACCAATATTAATCGATGAAATGAAATTTACTTTCAACAAAAATACCAAATAACATATTAAAAACAAATCGAGACAATAAAATTAAACTTATTCAGTACTTACGCGATGGTAAAAATAAAGCAACAATAACCACAGTAACAACAATGAAGAATTTAAAAAAAAAACGACTACACATACGTCATATAGATGGGACTGCAAACAAGTGAGATCAACCAAAGCAAACAAATGATATGGTGGTTAAAATACAAATCGGCACACTATTGAAAACGAAATAAAAAAAAAAAGAGAAAACAAACGGAACACAAAACCCAGAACAAACGGTGACACACAAAAATGATGTGGATTTTGCCAAAAAAAAAAAAAAACACAACAACAACAACCAAACACATATACAAAATACTGCAAACAATTTGGTCTACCAAGCTGAAAAATCAAAATCCGGCCAATTGTCGATATACTTACTTGGGCAAAGAACTCAATCACAACAAAGATAAAATAACAACAAATTGAAATTAATATCTAATTTTTGGAATTGGACAAAATTTATGGAAAATCTCGAGAATAATGTCTAATCTAGCAGCCATTTAATATTGATTACTTGATTTGTTTTCAAAAAGAACAGCCATTTTTGTTGTTGGTTTTAATCATTTTTAAATATATATATTTTTCAATTTGTATATACAAACATTATTTATAAATCCTTGAAATAGCCAGAACTGTTGAGCTTTTAATCTGTTTTTTTTTCTTTTTCTGTTTCTTGTTGCAATTTTATTATATACTACGTAGGTAAAACTAGCAGATGACGTCTGTTGACAAAAAATAGCATATTTGTGTCAACTAATTTAGATGTTATTGTTTCTTGTTCAAGATTTACATTTAAAGAAGAGAAAAAAAATTGATTGTGTTAATTCGAATCCATGAGTAAATGAGTTTGAATGAGGGAATATATTCGTTGTATTGTTTTGAATGGAAGAAGAAAAATAAATTCATCGATTTTTTTTTCCATCTCCATTTTGCTTGTTCTCAAAATGCATTTTAGAATATTTTTTCTCATTTTAGTTACAAATTGATTTACGTCAAATACGATGTAAACTGCTAATTTTTGCGCTGAATGAATTTAAATATGGAATTATCATTTAGCGTATATTTGGAATGAGTATTACGATGCACGATTGTGTGTGATTAGTGTAATTATACGAAAAAAGACGATATATTGTTTGATATGTGGGTTTGTGTGTTTTTGGGAAGGGAACATGGGAGGATTGTTTCGTCTTCTTCTTTTTTGTCATCATCATCATACTGATATAAACTTGATATGTATATATATATATATATATATATATGTATATTTCTACAATATATTATTATGATATTTTTTTTGTCGACGTTCAATGTAAAACGTACATAGAATTTCGATAAACAACGAATTGACAATATGAAGGCACACTTCTAAACAATTTCCACACATGCACACCGAAGCGAATATAAATCATGCATAATTTTGTTTTTCTCGATTGTCTGTGCGCTGCGTGCGCAAACTTAAATTTCAATTGACAAAGACGCCAAAGCAACTTTCATAGTTTTGTTTCTTCTTTTACTCGATTGCCCTCTCGAAATGAATTTTACACAATACAAAATAGCCTGCATTAATCGTACAGTTGGGTTTTTTATTTCGGTCTCCTAAATAATATTAAATATACTCCTATATGTTCGTTGTATTTGTTGTCATAGGACAGAAAATTATGTAATTATTGTAATTAAATCTATTCCCAAAGGAAAAACTGCATCATTCGGGCTACTACTTTGTTGCACTACCATTTTGAGTCAAAAGCTGCCGTTTCGAACGAAAAAATAAATGATAATAATTCGAAAACGGATTTGGAATGACCTCATTTTGAATATTACAAGCAAATGACCTTAAGCAACTCTCAACACCAACAATTGTATTGAGTGTAATTTGGTACGAACTTTGATCGCAGCTTGCGATTCATAGCAAAGTTCAAAGCGACTTTTTTTCTTTTATCTTCCTCTATTGCATTCGTTTTGAATATTTCTAATCATAAAGCATGCGATTTTTTTTCTCTTTAAATACATCTGAATTTCTTACGGCTACATTAGTTCATTTCTGTTCTAAAATGTCAATGTCAATTTTTTTTTCTTTTCACTTTTTCTATTGTCCATTTTCATTCAATTTGTCAAGCGAACAAAAAAAAAATAAACGGTTATTCTAAATCAAATGGATATAAACTGCTCGGATTTAATCGACTGTAAGCAGACACATGAAAAACTTTGTCCGAACCAAAAAATAATAATAATGATAATAGTTATAATCGTACACAAAACAAACAAAAACACAAAAAACACATTTTAATTTATGACAAATGGTTCTGATCGACACACTTTCTACACAATATTTTTGCAGCAAAACGGTATGAATTTTTTTATTTTTCGTCGGACGAATAAATATTGCGCAAAAATTGGAACAAGTAAACAACATGAATATACATTACATTTAAATTGGTTACAAAAATCCAAATTTAAAACGACAAAAAAACACAGTACAAAAAAAAAAAAAACTTTTCTTGCTTTGATGACAGCGGAACAAAATATGATTCGTTTTTTTTTTTGGGGGGGGGGTTCGCTGAGTGTGGAATGTGTGTGTGTGTGTGTGTATTTTGTGCTTAATGCGATGGTGCAAGTGTTATAATTTAAAAGTGCATCAACATATCAATCTAGCTAGTCGGTTTTATTTTATTGATTTTTTTTTTGCATTTCTCTTCATGGAAATTTGCCGTATTGTTGTTGTTGGAGTTTGTTGCGCTTAAAAATACCGAAATTCGCCTTTCTTACCTATGTGCTTGTTACGAACCCAGTCGGCCTGAGCCGTATGCGTTTGCTGTTGTTGTTGTTGTTGCTGCTGCTGTTGATTATTTTCGTTGCCATACTGTGTGTAACGATCTAAAACCGCATCCTGAAAACGAATCAAATGTAAGAATCGTTTGGAAATTTTCGGTATTCGAATCAGAAAACATTTCAATTTTATTCAACTTACGTTAGCTACCGCACGACTTATCTTTTTCCCGGCAAATGCGTCATTTGTATTCGAATCAGGTACAGCACTGCCACTGGCCGCATTTGAATTATTCGCCGCAATATTGCTGCCACCGGTGAAATTGAATGGTGTCACAATTGTGTGTGGCACGTGCGCCATTTGGCCGCGAACATTTCGGGCTTTCCACCATTTTCGTGTGTCGTCCAAAATTTCCAAATATTCACCGCGTGACACGGTCAATTCTTTGTCATTGTTTGCGGTGCGTGGATATGTTACTTGCACAATTTTTGCACCACGAGCGGCCAAACTCTCGATCCAGGCCGACGAATTCGGGACCATTGATTCGTTTGGATTGGTTACGGTGACATCGGTTAAACCGCCATTTCGTTCGATCGAATCGATTGAGATGTCACTGCGTGCACTAAAATCTCGCATTGCCGGACTATGTGGTGCACCACCGCCACCGACACCGACACCACCACCAGGACCACCACCACCAGCATGATGACCAGATGACGGTTGCATATCATAATCGTAATCAATGGAATACATTTGCTGTTGCTGTTCCATTCGTCTTTTGATTGCATTCGCTGATGGATTACTATTTTGTTTGATGAGCTACAAATTGAAAGAGTAAACAGTAATTTAGTTACCCGCATCAAGCGAATTATTTTTTCTTCTTATCAAAAATGCATGGAAAATCTATTCAAATGACGTATGATCACATGTTTGTTTCGTTTTCTACGTCCTCTAAATATAATAATGATTTATTGATGTGACCTGAATATGAGTGAAGTAGAAAAAAAGGGTAGAAAAAAGCGATGGTGTTAATTGGATTCTAATTACCTTATGGTGAATACTAACTGACGATTGTGTTGGATTTGGTGCATCATTTTGTGGTGACGGTGTGCCGGCATGAGCTTCAAGCTCATCGATGACCGGGTATTCGGGTGACCAACCATCAAAAAATACCGGATGATACATAACCATGCCTTGTCCATTTTTCCATTGATCACGTGGAATGGACCATGCATCGCCCAGCGAACGCCATAGTTCCGTCTCTTTGCTTGTCACACAATTAATTAGCAAATTGATTGCTTCGCGTGTCAACAGCGGATTTATCACACGAGCCGGTAGATTTGGATCATAATATGTATCGTGTGATGCATCGACAATAAGTGCTAATGGTGTGAATAGAAAATGTACTAGTTCGGGCGCATTTGGATCATGAATGTGTGCTTTTAGTTTGGCCAATAAATTGAATGATAATTTAAATTTGGCAAAAATATCGATAAATTCCTTTTCATGTGGCGGTTTTGTACGCAATGTTAGCAAACCTTCGCCCGGATCTTTCTTTTTCGATTTGCGATTGCGTCTGCGGCGCTCTAGTTCTCGTGATGCGGCCGCTGCATGTTGCAATCGGGCAATAAACTTTTCAATGTCATCGAAGCAATGATTCAGAACGACAACGTCTCGTTCATATTTTTCGCTTGATGTTGAGCTGGTGTCGTCGTTGATGCCTCCACCATTTCCACCGCCACACATTCCCAGCTCCGAATCGGTGTCATTATCTGCAAATGAATGATCATTTATTTATTTATTTATTCGTGTGTTGTTTTGAAGAGTTGAAATTAATCGTATTTAATTGAAAGCACAACAACAACAAAGTATGAGTCTTCCGCAGCACCGATTTGGATTGCATGACACTTGGTCAACATTGACAATCACAAATGCTATTATTTATTGGCTGCCGCGTGCAAATCGGCTTTTTTCTGCTCGTCGTCGTTGTTGTTGTTGTTGTTCTTCTCTGCGTGTAACACACAAATCGTTTACTTACCGCGATTACTGTAACCAGCAACATTGCCATCAACATTCGAATGGTGACGTTCACGGCCTGACTGTGACTTTCCATACGATTGTGATTGATGATGCATTACATCGTGATGTTCTGTGATTGATTTGCCATCGCGTAATTGCTTCAAATCCTCAACTAAATGTATAGCTGAAATGCTTTGACACTAAAACCGCCCCAGGTTGAAATGAAGAGAAAAATAGAATTAAAATGAAACCAAACGAAAAAAAGAAACGTATTTATAAAATCGTTGTCGTAACACAGAAGAAACAAGATCGGAAAAAGGCAAAGGAAAAAATAGAAACATGATAAGGAAATGGAGAAATATGAACAAGACAGATAAAGCGTGCGACCAAATAAACCGAACTAAACCAAATTGAACAAACACCAGTGTTTATCGTCTATATGTTTTCTATTTTTCCGGTTTTCCAATTCAGTTGGTCGTTGGTCCGGTTTGATGTTTTTCTTTCTGGCCTGTCTGTCGCTCCGTCTTTCTTGCCGCACATTGAAAATGGCAAACGTTACAATTATATGACGACGACGACGACGAAAAAAACAAACCGCATTGAAAAATGCTTGATATTCATTTGTAATGGGATGCGTAAAAAGTTAGTTGAAATGTGTTTTATTTTCTTTTTTTCTTCTTTCTGAAATGGGCGACTCACGACGGTCATATTAGTCAATTATGCGATATTTACCTGAAATATGTGCATTTCGGAACGAGAACCAGTTCCACCGTCCACAATGAATACGAGTATATTATTATATAATTCTGTGGGTCCATTGCTGGTGAAAGCGGTGGGCTCTTTGATCAATGAGGCCGGAAAACGTTCAATTATATTCTGTAAATATGAATGAAATGAGTGAAAAAAAAATGGAGCAAAAAACCGCATGTGTCTGTGAGAAACGGGATTGTTGTCGCATCGAATGCAATTTATGCATAGGAAACCGAATCGTACTTACCCCAGTTTCATAGTCCATGATTAAGATCCATTGTCGATCTAAGCATAGTTTCATTTTTTGTGACCAAATGCCCGTTGATTTTTCTAATTGAAGTAGGCGTCGCATGCCATCGGCCGGATATAAAATGCCCGATTCTTGGTTCACCGTGAACGTGGCCAAATGCTCGAGCAAATAAATTGGTTTGTCCATTAAATCATTGTCATATCGATCGTATTGGCCGGTGCCAGTGCTGCGCAAATCACGATCATCACCTGAGTAATTACCGCTACTGCTACCGTTTGCCGTTCCGGCATCGGTTCGATTTGGATGGAAAGGCATCTTCACTTATCTTCTTATCGCGCACGAGAAAATTTTTTTTTCCAAATTTCCCACACGAAAAAAAAACTAAAATTGTTTTTGGTGTTTTTTTCTTCTTCTGTTTCGTTTTTTTTTTTGGATCGGTTCAACACTTCAAATGTATTCACTTCCAATTTGATCTAATCACAATTAACAAATTCACTTCCAATTAAATAGAACATTTGATTGCACTCCAACACATCATCGATCAGCCACAAAACGTTTTTACAATCACTGCTGCAATGGAGAGAGATAGAGAGAAGAAATATGGGGATATGATTAAAAAGAAGCAAGAAAAAGAAAACAAATTGACGGTGAAAATCTATGTTATTAAACTACTTGAACGGAAGGCGGCCAACAACACAAAAGCAAAACAAAGATAATGGTATTAATTGATTGCACGCTGAAGAAAATCAAACGAAATGAGTAGAGTGTGTGTGTTAACTTTTGCTTCTTCGCTTCTTCTTTTTTTCTAGTTTCTTCGGAAACTATTATTTTTGCGTCGAAGATCTTGCGCAAATTGGCAAATCAACTGATTTTATTCGATCGTTTTAACGTATGAGTAAATTGCGTTGCTTTTCAACCAACGTCTATTTATGCCTTCTTCATCGTCGTCGTCGTCGTCGCTACTATTCTTCTTCTTTTTGTTATTCATTTAGTCGCGCGCGCATCCGTTCCCTGTTCACAATCGGCTTTTCACTCTAGGTGTGGCAAACGATATAGGTGTTGAGCGTTTGATTAATGAAGTAAGATACAAAAATAACAGAAGGAGCATGGAATTGAGTTGAGTCGAGTATCTCTCTCTCTCTCTCTCTCTCTTTATCTCGTTGTGTATGCGTATCGGGCGTTCAGCGGTGTGTGCGTTCGTTCGTGGTTTTTTTTTCTCTCTCTCTGTGCTGTTATTTTCTATGTGCGCACATCGCACCACAACCATGTGACTTACGGAAACATGAAGAGAAGAAGAAGAAGTTCTTGTCTCGCGTACAGTCACAACATTTTAAATGTCTTATCAACGATATAAAACACATCATCTTTTGACTGTAGATTGATCGGGCACTAAAATCGAATGCGCAAAGGAAGTGGCAACCATCATATGGATGAATTCATCAACGCTTTCTCATCAGTTTTGTGGCGTTTCTTTCGTGTATTGCCTTCGATGCTGTTTCATTGGTTTGGACATGGAATATTTCAAGAGAAGGAAACGAAACGAAACGAAACGAAGAAAAAAAAACACACGAAGAAAGCTCACGCACCACGAAAGAAACCACTGCGCACGCACATCGTTGTTTGAACACACGCCAAATTGTACGCTTTCGTTTAATCACGTTTTCGGCTACTCAATATTCGATGCATTCGCTGTCGCTCTCACTGAAAACGTGAAACACACATAATGTTTATGCATTCGATTGATGTAAGATTGGAATTTTTTTTTTTTGGAACAATTGATTTTATTTAAATGTTAACCCAAATCGTTCACGCAGAAGTGAAGAAAAAACGCACCACTGCACGGCACAACGATGAAAGAGACCGAGGGAGAGGGAGAGAACGGAGGGAGAGAAAAAGATCAACAATCAAAAAGAAAACGTTTAATTTTGAATTTTCGATTGTGTCTGACTTGTTGTCAGAGTTTAATTTATACATTGTCGACAAACGATTTGATCACCTAGCATTACGGCCCACAATTTTTTTTGTGTGTTCAAAACAATTTGAATACTCAAATTATACGTCACGTTCACTAATTGCACTCTGTTTAATGACTTTTCGATGTTTAGGCACACTAAGCTGCTGGCTTGTTCACTCGCGTTGCTCATTTTATTCCCTACTTCTTCTTCTGCGGTTTTTGTCGTAGTAAAAACAAAAAAAGCACATTTCAAACGCTTGAATTACTCTCTAACGAATCAACTAAATATCGGTTTAAAAAACACACTCGTCCATGAGAATCGATAAATCGATGACAAATAGATCTCAAATCGTGTGTGTTTGGAATTTTTGTTGGCTTCTGGTATTTCAACTGAACGAAAAAAAAACGATAGAAAAACAGCAACAAAAACATAGAGTGACATATGCACAAGCACGCGAATCGCTAAGACTGGCTGACATGGAATTGTGCAAGGTAAGGGTGCGGTTTTGTAACCGACAGCCAAACCAAAAAGACATACCAGCATATATATATATATAAAAATAGACGGTCTATAAATGCATTTCCACTTAATAAATATGCGCTATTATGAGTATGCACTCATATTGGCCGAGCAATGTGCGAGAATCGAATGAGAGAGTCGGAGAGTCGGGCAGGTATAATGAAAATCGGTATGGTATTTATTTCTCTCTTCTTTTCTCATTCGTTAACCGTCGAAAGCATGCAGCTTTGCCAATAATAGCAATTGCAACGGCTAGACCAACAACATCATCCAGCAGTAATAACAACAACAACAACATCAGCAGCAGCAGCAGCAGCAACTGCAGCACCACTGAACGAACGGCAACAGCAGTAAAATCAATGCAATGCCAACGAATCTGCAGAAATGAGTGTTATTAACGATGAATGCGACTTGAAGTACGGTGAACATAGCAAACAACAACAACAACAAATGTACTACGAGTAATAAGGTATATCACATGGACAGTATAATGTTATGGAATGGTCGACTGATTACTCGCTCTCTTTCATCACATAATGGTGTGCGTGAGTCTTTTCTTGACCATATTTCTTCTTATTCTTCATTTTTCGTCCATTTCATTCGTCTTAATATCGAAAAAAAATATAAATCTTTCTTCCACAATATATGATGAAGAGTGCGGGCGCGCGCGCATCAGTTGGCTGATGATGGCACACACACACACACAGACGGCCGCACAAAAACCTCGCGGAATAGCGGTGCTAACTGCAACGACCACAACTCGCTATATGTGCGCGCGAGAGAGTATCTCGCCCAAGCCCATTGAACAAGACAGCAACAAGAGTAACCGTACGTTTTCGTTCGGGTATATTGAATTCCAGAATTTTCCGCGGCAAGAAATGCAAATGCAATTTCTCTTGTGGTACGGAGCAAAAATTATTATGATTGAAATCAGCAAACAATTTTGGATCGTCGTCATCGTCATAATCATTGCTGTTTGTACCAAACAGTTTGTTGCCTGCCAAATGAAAATCCACACGGCCTAACTTTCGATGGCATTACCGTGAAAGTATGCAGAATAATATGTGTGTTGCAATAGAATACTTATTTTCTCATTTAACAACTTAATAATCGGCGCATAGACGTGCGGAATATTATTATTATTTATGGACACATAAAATTCGAAAAAAAAACCATCGATGTCGACGATGACTACGACTACGGCGACGATGTGGAAAAAAAGGGCACTCAGAGCAAAACAATTCACGATATTGTTATTTGGCGGATGTACCACGTTGTTGTTTGATTTTTGTTTTCTGAATTGTTTTGATGGTTTTGCCGTGGCTTTTTTTTCTCTCCTCTATACCGAGATTTCTCTCTATAGAAATATTTTCAGGCGCGTACTGTGCATAATACTTCTGTTTGTATTTTCGGGAATGTAGCGATTGTTGTTGTTGTTTATTTTTTTTCGGCTGTTGATGGTTAACCGCATTCATGCGACCCATATATAAATGACAACAAAAACAGTGTATTTAAACATTTGAACACACACACACACACGAATAGAATCACGCGCAAGGAGAGTCATCGAAAATGTCACTTGTACCAATGTGAATTTAAATGCGCGCACGACTTCAATGTGTTTGACAGAGACAGGTGCCGATTGGAATGTTGTCCACATCGCATTTATTCACATCATCTACATAGATAGCGATGGTGGAAGGTGTGCAAGCACGGCACAGTTCAAATTGATTCGACAACGAACAGCAACCACGGTTACAAATACACACAACTCTCTATCTCACATACACACAGCACTTAGCACCGTTTGGTTTAGCGCGAGCAATGAAAAGGAGAACGTAAAATAAACGAATCCAATCCGACAACATTTCGAAACGAAGCACAACAGATGAAGCAACGGCCATACCAATGTTATTGAATATGCCACATAACTCTCGACGAATATTGGGATATTTGAATGGGAAATGTTATTTTGCGAGTGAGATCACTGTGTTTGGTTAGTCGCTTGACTCTTATTTTTTTTTCGTCGCTCTCGTCTATTTCTTTTCACATATGATCACTTGGCGATTGGCAACACTCATTACACACATTCGTTGAAATCCAGCTATGTGCGACACCGAACGAAAAAAAAACAACAACAACAACACAACACACTATCTCCTAATTGCTTATGCAAAACATTTGCCCTGTGCAACAGCAATCCGACACGGTTTAACCGAAAGACCAGAGAGATAAGACTTTGCCAGCGATTACTGCCTTTTTTTAAAAAACTTTTTTTCGCTTCTTCGGTTAATTTTATTTTTTAGCACCACTTTGTGAATGAATCAATTGTAAGACTTGGGTGCATTATGAATGTATAATCGTCGGAATGTTTGAAGCAACTAATTAGATAAGTGAGAAGAAACAACAATTGGGTGCGTGCACTACACGTTCTCTTCTCCATTCATAGAAGAAGAAAAAAAAAACGACGATGAAGAAGAAGCAATAAAAAAAATTGAATACGCATACAATCTCTTGAGCGATTGAATCAATCGCACACAACACACACACACACACACACTCGAACAAACACAAACCAAGCGAACGAGAGAGCATGGACCAAATTCAGGTGAAAGAAGAAAATTCATGACACATGAAATGCAAAATTTACTCCACATATTTCGCTTAAGTTGCTGCCTGAGCGATAGCTTGATTCATATATTATATATTTGCCGCTATTGGCTTGTAATAGGCTGTGTTTGTGTTCCATCATGTGTTGATTTTCCCGAAAATAAACCGTTTCGTTTGCACGGCCAGCGTTTACTCGGCTTTTTGTGGGCAATCATTCACGAAATGTGTGTTCGTTTTTTATTTTGCTGCTTTACTGTTTCGCTGAGAGGATGTTCGCTTCACTTTTGAATCTAGTCAGCGGCCGCTTTTTCTTTTAGCGCAAAAAGAAAACTAAGCATCAATCTCATTCTGGTTGGCTTGTCCATCGGCAGATCAAAGTAATTAATGCAGATTATCATTGCCATGGAACAGCTTTTCCGTTCTTATTTACAAATTATTATTGTATGTGTCTTTTTTTCGCGCCATGAATGTACCAAATTTTCCAAGAATAACATCTCTACTTGGCCACAGAGATGAATTTCAGATTTAAAATGATTTTCGTGTATAATTGGTGAGAGAATTTCTGGATTTACAACAATTAGCTTTGAAAGATCACATTTTATAAAAGAAATTAGTGTTTTTTTTCTCTTTTTCTCCATTGAAACCGTAACTTTTTTTGGGACATGTCTGTTTCTTAGAAGACATTTATTTTCGGAAGTTGAAATCTGTTCTGTTTTCTAGTTCAAATTTGTTTTTGGCACCTGTGCTTGAGTTTTTTTTTAATTCAGCTTACAAATGCGATGTGAATCGCAGATACGACAACCAGTGCGACGGTTGTCTTAATGCAAATTTAATTGCGTATTCATATTTCAAAATGTGGATGGAATCAATGAGCATTTAAATTCAGCCGCATTCCGTGTTTTACGTTTAAACATGTTGCGCATACACACAGATTCAAAGTGGAAGAATGCTTCAAACGTGCTCCCCCTATCCCGTTTCCTCTCGCTCTCCCTCTCTCTTCTTCTCTATCTCTTCCCTTCTCTCTCTCTCTTTCTCTCTTTCTTTCCATCTCTGTGTGATGATGCACTCCAGCTTCTTTTCTTCAGCAACAAAGTTTAATATTAATTAATATTTTTTTTCATCTTCTTCTCGTCGGCCTCCGTTATTATTTCTCTGTCGGTTCTTGTCTTTTTTCTCAGTTTCTCTTACTCTCTCACTCACTCTCTCTCTCTCTCTCTCTCTCTCTCTCTATCTCTCTGCATTTGATATTCGACATAATTTCAGGCCAACATTTTTCATTTGCCATTTACATTGTTGTTGGGCTCTGTTTTTTTTAATACTTCATTTTACGTCTAACGTATTTGAATGTCTGAGTCTATGCGGTTAATAAAATAAATAAAGCCAATGTGCTAAATAAAATCCATGTATATATGAAAAGAACTGAAGAGAAGTGAGAAAAAAAAAGCGACACAACCGCATTGAAGAGTAGAGAGAAGGTGAAGAAAGAATTTAAGAAAACGAAGAAAAAAAAGTTCTCTTGCGCGCACGATAGAGAAATCTCGGCACAATCACATTCTATTGAAAATGCACGGCACAGCAACGAAAAAAATGTTTTTTTTTTGACAATTAGAATTGTGCCTTAAATAACACAAAACATTCTTTTTTCTTTTATTTTTATTGGCAATTCGCAGGTTCTTTTTTTACGAGCGTATTATGACCCAATCAATGGATCCTATTCAGTGGCGTTCGTGAGTGTGTGTGTGTGTGTGTGTGTGTGTGTATTTGTCTCTGTTGTTATTATTATATTTTTGAAGTCGAATGAAAATTACGTTTGAAAAATTCTCACGTTATGATTGCTCATAGTCGGCGAGTAATACTCACTCGGGGTGTCATTCAATAAGTATCCAATGCTAAGCTAATTAAGCCTATCTGTAACGCTTTTGAAAAACCTTCAATTCACAAATTGTTTTGCATTTAAAACACTTATCAACTCAATTTTCTCGTTTCGTTTCGTCTCTTGAAATGAACATCTCACAAAAGCCAAACCGTTGCACTTGCTTTTTTATCACTCATCCCAATTTGTTTGGACGATATTTTTTTTCAATTTTGTTTTTCGGTTTTCGTTAAACAAAGTCCACTGTTAGTATCAATTCGTTTCGTTAATTAATGGAATTTTAAGATTGTTAACAAACGACCGAAAAAATGGTTGAGAAAATTAGAAAACCATGGAGAAAATCAGAAATATATTGGCTTTCATTAGTTTACACCGATTGATCGATTTGCCATATTTTTTTTGTTAATTTTTCACCTCCGCAGTTCGGAACATTTGATATGGTAGTTAATTGATTTTCTACGTACTCGATGCCATGGAATTTCTCGATTCTCATGCGAAAGAACAACAAGCAAATAATAATACAAAAAAAAAATAAATACTCGAATGTTTTGTTATTATTCACTTCACCTAATACTAAAGTAAAATAATAAAAAAAGAAAAAGAAAAACAACAACGTTCAGTTGAGTTTATTTGCAGAATGTCGCGACAGAACTGACACACAACGAAACCGTTCTCTCTGTGCCGAGAGACAGATACAACGTTTTTTTTTTCTTTCCTTTCTGTCTTCTTCTACTCAACTCTCAACCACACAAATAAAGAAAAATTATTATATTCACAACGGTGAGCGCAATAAACAACACTAGTAAATTGAACACACCAAGAGAGAGAAATGAATTTGAAAAAAAATGTCGCAAGTCGTTACTTTGATTGCCTTTTTCGGTACGTGTAGTAGCTCTCTATGAGAAGGCGATTGCTTTGCTTTGTTGGCGCACACACATTCATATGCCACAAATCGACAAAGTGAGAAACATACGAATACATTCGGGTTTTTGCATGTAAATGAAGCATACTCACACACCATACCACACACCACACCACACAGAAATACAAACCTTCATTCGTGCCGTTTCTTCATTTTTTTTTACCTTTTCGTTGTTATTTCCATTTTATTTCATTTTCTCCGATTTAATTCAGGTTTCAATCGCTTCGTTGCATTGTAGTGGTATGAGGTAATTGAGGTGTATGGACGAAGTGTATATTAAACACACACACACAATGGGAGAGAGAGAGAGACACACACGAAAAATAAAACAGCACACTGTTGCTAGTACACACTCACGCACGTCGTTTGGTGCTTTGGAATGAGCATTCGATTTTGGTGTATTGTTATTGTTACTTTTTGTTATTACAACTGCATATTTCTAATGGGAATAATGTCAATTTTGTGCCCATCAAATGGACCAGTGTTTTCAGCACCAATATTTTTTGTTTGTTTAAAACTATATTATCCACAATGGCCTTGACAAAAATCTTTTTCACTAAATAATTTACAGCACATTGAATTTTCATTCCACATTCAATTCAATTGAATTACACTTGGACAAGGTATTTGGTTTTGCCTTGAATTCCCTGCCCAATTTATCAGTCGAGTGATGGCCGATTCAGTTCACATCAACTAAAATGTCCGTAAAACACTGTTAAGTTTTTTTTTTTGTATTTTCGTTGATTTGCAAGATCGGATGATTAAAATGGTCCAAATGAAAAAAAAAATAGAGAAAAAAACGAATATTTTTTTCGAGAGAGTTTGACGCACACGATTCAAGTGCGATTTGTGTACGGAAATGACGATGTAAGTTGAACATTAAAACTGTATTCGCCTCTTGGCTACAAGTGTCTATGTGATACACGTATACAAGCGTACAGTTGCGATCGCACACAGGTACACGTTTACAAGTCAAAGAAAACAATACATTCGCATAACATTTCATCCAGGTACTATTGTAGTTTGACGGTGTGAAAGACACGAGTATCGGAATTTACCTTAGTATAGTCATTGCATTTGTAGTTTTCCCATTTGAAACTATGTGCCTATGTGTATGGTGAACGAACACCGTATTGAGCTATTTTTTCATACATAGTCTGACAGGTATGTTTTATAGTTGTGTGTTCGTGGTGTGGTGTTCGATCAGTCTCATGGATTCCATGATATGAAACAGGTACACAAACCAAATACACGTTGGAATTGCCTATGGTTGTAGGTGTGATCAGTTCGTGGAATTTCAATATGCGTGTAAGCGTTTATGTTTGTGTTTGTGTGCCTGTGTGAGCACACGTCCCATTAGAACCCAACCGACCAACCGAATGATAAATTTTTTTTTTCATTCATTTGTGAGGAATTTGCCGTCATTCATTTTGTACATTTTGTTTTTCGATCTGCATTTTATTATTCAAATGAGGTTTCATCATCATTATCGCCGCATATCCAGTTTCAAAAATGACTGTTACCGTAACAGCACATTCGGCTGCGCTCGATATTGATGATATGGCAATGTGACAAACAGAAAACAGGTTAAAAGTAATACAAAATGAGAAGAGAAATGGTTTGATTTTTGGACGCAAGTTGAGTGATTGTCACTCGAGAACGCCTAAAACGAAAACTATGCGCTTGAATAAATAACATCGATAAAAATCGGGTTCCCTTCCTATGTCTTTTAAACAGAGCGAAGTTTGTTTTGTGAATTGCCGATATCGAAATGCTCCGATAAGTAAAACACAACTTTTCCCAGCCCAATCGAATTCGAAGTGGCATTTTAAACAGCGATCATTGAAGAGAGAAATTTTGTTTTTTGTGTTGCATCAAAATTAAATTTTTATTCAAAACACTATTACCAAATCCAGAAAATCATGAAATTTTCGTTTATTTTCGAGATTAAACTGATACCGAACAGCATTTATTGCAATTCGATCATCAGTTAAAAATAGGAGAAGAAGAAGCAAACACCGAATTCACTTGGTATTTAAATAATTAAAATGCTAATCAAAACGCAAACAAATCACATGGATACACCTGTACTCAATTCAAATGCCACTTGAATCACATCATCCATGATTGTGTTGGTGAACATGAACGGTGAGCTCGGGAGATGAAAGATCAAATGTCTGCTTCATCGTCGTCGTCGTCACAGACAGCAAAAGTAGCATTATCACACGCTCACGTCATCGTCGACAAATGCTCGGCTAAAACCATTCAACAAACTGAAAACAATAACAACAACGATGAAATTAACGATACAATAGAAATACATGTATTATTACTGCAGTAATCAACGATAAGTACCGAGAATACTAAATACCGCACAGATAAGGCAGGCGAATTGGTTCGGTTTTGACCGAAACTCACAGTGCAACAATTATCGCACTCATCACTTATCTGATTATACAATCGAAAGACATTTTGATTTGCCGTTTCTATCGTTTCTATCGCTCCATTAGATTAAGTCATACGATAAGAATGGAATGCAATCGAGTCTGCAGTGTGCAAAAGTCTGAAATTAAATAACGGAAATTCAAGCGAGACAATTGAATTAAATGCCAATTATAATTACGGTTTGATTGACCGCCAACGAATAAATGCATTTTTTTGGGATTTTTTTTAAAGCAAAATAGGTGAATCCAACGTATTTTGATCCAAAACCAAAGTAATTTTTTTAGCATCTCCGATCTTTTTCTCTCTCGAAACGTTCTTTTGCCTCGTAATTCGAAGAGAGAAAAAAACTGAGCGGCATATTGATTCTTTATGATCGGTTTGTTCTTTGAAACCGGGCGGAGAGAGATAGAGAGAGCGAGATGATGCTATTTGGCGATTCCATTGTTATGGATTCTCCGGCTACTCTCCCGAATGAATAGAATTGGTCGTCGAATGGAAGAGAGATGATAATTGAAAAAGAAGAAGAAGATGAAGACTGGTTTTGTGCATGCTTTTATCTTAACCACACTCCATTCTCGTTGCGTGTGTATTTCTCTAGCTCGTTCGTTCTTATTCGATCGGTTTCTTATAAGAAAATCCATTGAACCGTAGTATACACCGAATTGATGCTCAATGTCGATGCTGCTGCCCCGTTGCGCGTTGAGATGATGTTCTGTACCGATGCGATTATTGGGTGTAGCCGGTCAAGTGGAAAAATAAGAAGAGCATAAGAATTATTTTCCCAAGAAATGTATCGTCGTCTCTTGGTTGTCTTCGGCGTCATCATTGTCTGACACACCGCAATACATTGTGCATGTGAATGTAATTTGAGCCCATCGATCGGGCAACAACATATTCGAAATTTCATATCAAGACATTCATTTGTGTTTGTATATATGGCTTCTCTCTGTCTTTATCTCTCTCAATCGACGACAGAACCGAAAACCGGAATAAAAGTCCCTTTGAAATGAACGAAAAGCATGGAGAATATGCGTCCATTGATATCCGCGCCGATAGTGTCGACGAAATTATTCTTTTGATTTGTGATTATTGTCTATTTTTACACATTGATTGGAAATCGAAATGGTTGTGTCTCACGATTGCGAAAATGTCATTTAAATTCCGTGCGGCATGTGTTGTGATTTTGTCGAAAAAGGAACGAGACACTTATCGCAATTTATCTTGACTTTCCAATGCCATTTCAATGTTGAAATCACTTTTCGAACAAGTCCGACACACACGAAAATGTGTCGTTTGCATCGTTCGAAAAGCCATTAAAGAAAATGATAACCGATTTTTGTATTACATTCGGTCCATATCATTGGATTATTGGAGTGTGTAATGTTTGGTGAATTTTTTTTATACATATATGAGCCAATAGCAAAAATGCAAATTTTTCTCTTTCTTCTGGTGTCTGTGTGTGAATATGCATGTATATGTAGGTTTGCAAGCGTGTCATAAATTTCCGATACAAATTTATTGGCCAACGAATACATTGGCAAAAAAAATGCATTGACTTTTCTTTGTTATTTATTATTTGATCTCGTTTCGATTGTGGTTGAGTGAGTTTCGGCTTGTTGATTAAGGTGAGGAGTTGCCATGCAAGGCCTTGCTTAACAAACAAACGAATCATATCACAGCAGCATTTGTTGTTGTTATTTTTTTGTTCTACCTTCCAACAATACACACAGTGCAAATGCACGATATCCTTTGCGTTCGGTCAGCATCATTAGGCATTGTCTTAACTGCCGCTACACTTTTTTTTTCTCTCCTATCTTTCGTTTGTTCGTTCGTTCGTTCTGTGTGTTACTTGTTATTTTTGCGCTCCGCATTGAAAGCGTGTATTGTTCTGTTGTTGAGAGTCACGATTTTCAGAGACTGAACCGAAAGAGAGCGAGAGAGAGAGAAAGAGAAAGAGAAAGAAAGAGAGAGTGAGTGAGTAAACGAAGCGAGTGGCGTGTATTTGTGACCGATCGTGCGCGTCCGTCTGTATTGGTAGGCAAAGTAGGGAGACAATCATACGCGTCAGCGTGTGAACACCAAAATCAAGACACGAAAATAAAAAGAAATGAAACACAACAACAGCAACAGCAAAAAAGCACACAATAAAATTAAAATGTATTGCTCTTGGAGTTGGAGTGCAGAAAGACAGAGCGAGAGACTTTTCGAGCCTCTCCTCTGATTATGTGTTGTATGTATAAAATGTATAAAAGTGCTTGCGCTCTCTCAACTCGCCAGCGTTGTTCCATGAGCATGGGCTAATTTTCGATTTCGTTGGGTCGGTGAATATATCGGTGTTTTTTTTTTCTGCTGGTGTTGTTTGTGTATGCGTGTAAGTTTTGGAGAGCCCCGTGTGTTTACGCCACACGATGCTCGACACAAACGAGTCGATTGCGGCGCGGGTACCAGCAGATTGTATAATTTCCAGTTGAGGCTGTATGGTTTTGATCGTTAAACGGTGTTGTACATATTGAGCTTAGACAGACCGAAAAACCTGTTGAACAGAGAAGAGACGACGAATTTGAAAAAAAAAAACGTAAAAAAAACACACAAATTTATTTGTATATCGTGTGTTCACGGCGTGTATTTTCATTTCATTCGAAAATATCGTACGTATCGTTGTTGCACAAATATTATCTGAATATTTTATTCTATTGTTTCGACTTGATTTTTTTTTTCAACTCGATTTAAAATTTATTTAATTTTTGCTCGGCTGTACAGTGTGTGTTTTGTCATTCTGAATGGTTTTTCACGATTTTTATTTTTATTTTCGTTCATTTCCCTCATTCGACTTGTGTACTCGGATTGATTGTGTGATTCTGCCGTTGGAATTATGTGTGTCTGTGTGTGTATGTTTTTTCTCCTGTGCTCTGGCATTTCGTTATTGAATTCAAATTAATGGTTTCGTTGTTGTTGTATATTGTTTATTTCTTTTCAATTTGTTACTCATGCCTGTTGTGCCCATTTTTGGTTTATTTGTTTGATTTTTTTCACACAAAAAAAAATCTGGCTGCCATTTAGTGTGTCTTTGTCATTTTTTGTTTCCAAAAAGACAAAAAAATCGAACGAAATAAGAGTAGTAAGCCAATTTGCAGTGTGTTGTTTGCATTCAATTGTGTTGTATGTGTGTGTGTGTGTGTGTGTGTGTGTGTGTGTGTGTGTGTGTGTGTATGTTTCGAAGGCTCTCGTAGTTCGTTTCATTTAATTTGGAAATTATTTTAATTGTAGTTGCATTTGGTTTGGTGTGTACAAAGTGCTGAAAAATGGTGAAATAATCAAACGAAAAAAAGCGCACATTTGTTCTTTCGGCACATTTGCCTCAAAATTGTTCATTCAAGAACATAAATTAGATGTAGAAATGGTAGTGAATAGAGCGCTCCATATGCATACGCACACAAAACGACAACTCAACCGAAAAATGTATGAAAATCGCTTTTATTTACAAATTGAGCGAAAAAAAAAATTGGTGATTTCAATTACGAACATAGATAATGAGTAGCGTAAAATAGTGCACCACTACACATACACACAAGCCAACTCCAATCGGAAAAGACTGACCGACCGACCGAAAAAAAAATGGTTCACGGACAATAAATAATTCGATGATGAATGGTTTTGTTGGAAATGCCAAAAATCGAATTCGATTGTTTTGTGGTTCCTGTAATTGGACAGTCTCACGTGTGTATCGGTATGAGCCGAAAGAAGAGAACGACGTCAAAAATACAAATTCCATCATTGGATTAATATTTATGTTCGATTGCGATGGAAAAACAGAGAAACAAAAAAAAACCAGTTTGATGGTTCATATAGCCGAAAAAACGAGAAAAAAAGCAAAAACAACATCGGTATGCCGTGATTCAATGCTTGCAGTAATCACACACAATTCATGTATATTTGATTGCTTGCGGATTGCTGGATTCGTCATCGCTTCTCTCATACGATTCGTCGTATGTGCACTTTGTCATCAGATTCCATTCAGTCGATCTGTTGATCGTGTTTAGAATGAACGCGTATTTTCCTTACCTGCAATCCTACGCTACGTTACGCGTTCTACACTGATTGATGGCTTGATTTTGCAAATGATAAAAATGTGTCGTCGTTTTTCATACAAAGCCGTAACATTTTAGTGGCTTGTTGTATATTATTTGGGTATTTTTGTTGGACAATTTTATGAAACGGGACCACGATAACAATTGGATATTAAAAAACAAGAACTTTTCCATTCGATCGTACGTGTGCTTTCATTCTAAATTCTCCAAGAATTTGTGTGTCTGTGTTGTGAATTGAAAATCCATTGTGAATAAAAGGTAATCTGGAAAATAAATGTGTCAAATTGAATTGCATGTTTTCAGCGAAAATTAGCATGTGTGAGTGTGTGTGTGTGTGTGTGTGTTGGGTCGGTCGACAATGGGAAAAACACACATTGCTAACCGCAATGGCGGCTCAACACTGGAGCCGCAACAACTGAAACAATAACATTCACTTAAGCACGAAAAAAAAAATTATATAAAATGAGATTACACATGTGTAAAGCCAACAAATATGAGAAACTCAATCACGCTTCACTATCGTGTGGCCTTTTTGTTTCAGTGTGTCTCAATGCGCGCCACCGCAGCAGCAGTGGTATTTTTTTACCTCCTCTTGTCGGTTCACTCAAATTTCATTTTCATTTTGTCGGCAAATGAAGTGTTGAGAATGCTGTGCAATTTTCTGTTTTCGTTATTCGTACGAAAATCCAAAAGTAACAACAACAAAAAACACACAAATTCAAACTAAACACCTTTTTCTAAGCGCTTACAAGAGGTTTTACCATCACGTCTCTTTAGACTCTCTCAAATCGTTATTGTTTTTTTTTTTTCGCTGTTGTTTGTTTTATTATTTCTTTCGTTGATATGAAATAATCATTTCAATAATAAAATTACAATGATGATTACAATCACACATACTCTCTCGTGTATGTGTCATAGACACACATCTAGCGTTAACCTCGAGAAACCCAGCAACAACGTTTAATTTTGTTTTGTTTTTTTTTTTTGCTCTCTCGCTTCTTTCGACGAAAATGAAATCTATATTAAAAAAAAGCGACTCTGGGGCTGTGTGCAACATGGTCGTATGTGGCTGTAAATCTAATATACCCAAGTATAAATTATAATCGTGTGTGGAATCCGTATTCCGTTTATTTATCATTTGATTACAAAATAAGCGCTAGAAACAAAAAAAAAGCTACAAGTGTGGACTGCAAATACTTGAGAGAAAATAAGAGAGAAAAAAGTGTGTGCCGCCCGCGATACAGAATGAGAAAGAGCGAAAGCCAACGAAAAAAGCAGTAAATTCACGGAAAAAAAAATCGTAATCAAAAGACGATAGATAAAAATATATTTCGCCTCTCAGCATTTGCGTTCCAGCGCGATTATTAGCATTGTTCAAGTCGCTGTGTTCAGTGTGTCTCAGTGAGATTCGAAGTGGTGGCGTGAGTGAGAGCGAAAGATTATCGCTGAAAATATATATACTTACATATCTCTCCCGAATAGTCACACCAGTTTCGAGCAAACAAACAGCGAAGAAAGAAGAGAAAAAAAACCCGTACACCGGCCATGATTTCATTCAATTTCGAATTTGCATTACGGTTCGGTTCTCTGTGTATAATTTGAATATTGAATAAAGAAAAAAATCGAAATGAATAAAAAAAAATGGATGCAAGTCGGCAAGGCGCACGAGCGCGATCGTTCGCTCACACAAATAATAATCGCGAGCGGGCAGATTCACACCTGTTTTGATCTTGTATGTGATTTGACGTGTATGACCGTTGGCTTGCTTCGCCCGTTGTGTATTTCACTCGTTCGCTAGCTTGTTATCGCGGTATTTCAGTGTCTGTGCGCCATTATTCACGAATGTGTATGAGTTTCGGATATCGTGGTTGTTGTTGCTGTTGTTTTTATTTCTGATCAGTTCATCCGCTTACGGTGTGGGGGGGAGGCTTTTGTTGATTTTATTTCCGATTGATCGATCGCGGATAAAAGCGATTTACAAACCGATTTTACATTTGATTCGATAATTTTACATAAACCATTTTTTTTCTTCTTATTATTTACCAATTTTTTTCTGTTTTTGCTCTATTCTCCAGATAAACACTAACTGGTACGGTTGAATTAGCGCTAAGCGGATACCAATATACAGCTTGGTAGTGCGTTTGAATTGAAGGTAACCAAAATCGACGAGAAAACAAAATAAAAACAGAGCAAACCAAAATCTATAAACTCCCGGAGAGTGCCGTTTTGGATCGCATGTAAAGTTGCGGTGTGTGAATCGCACGCAGAACAACAACCAGCCTAAACCAGCCAGAGAGCGCTTAGTTTTAAACGAAAGTTAAATAAACGAAAACGAAACGTGACATCAAGCCATTCACTGCGTAACACCACTCAAGTTCGAAAGAAAAAGAAAAACACATACACGGCAAAGCACCCGGACGGATATAGAGATAGAGAGCAAGAACGAAAGTGAAAAACGATTTATTATCTCGTAATTCTAATTGTCGAATACGGTAATTTTACATATATTTATACACATCTCGCCTTCGCCTTGGAAACTAGTTTTCAGCAATTGTTTCGTGTCGCGTAGTTTTTTCTCCTTCTTTCTTTAGGTTTTTTTTTTCTGTTGTTATTGTTTTGTTTTCTCTCCCCTTGTCCTTAGCCGTCTCGTGTGTAAGCGTGTGCTATTGCGCTTGTGTGTCGATTTTTTAAGTGATCGAGACAAATTCCTCTCCCTTCCTCCCAAACACACTCTCGCGATCGCAGACAATATGAGCGAAAACAAGTTAACACGTTTATGTCATATGGTGAAGCGTGCCGATTTCGATGGTTACGGTTTCAATTTGCATGCAGAAAAAGGCAAACCCGGCCAATATATCGGCAAAGTGGATGATAATTCACCAGCTGAAACGGCCGGATTGAAACAGGGTGATCGCATTATTGAGGTGAACGGCGTTAACATTGGCAATGAAACACACAAGCAAGTCGTAGCACGTATTAAAGCGATAGCAGATGAAGTGCAATTGCTGGTCGTCGATCCATCGATTGTGTCCGTTTCAAATAATAATCAAGTGATCGATGGCAGCACCACCAATAGTGTAACAAGCACAATCACACTGGCGGCCAATGAACATAGCAATGGAAATGACACAAATGATTCGGTGAGCAATGATGTTGCCGCCACCACCACCATCGTCGCCGCCACAGCAACAACAAACGGCAGAAATGGCCAGTCACCCAATTCCAACAAATCAAACGATTCGCATGCACATAATCCCACATTGAACACATCATCGGTGACAACAACAACAACCACAGGTATGCGAACTTGATTGATATCTCAAAGTCAAGATCACACAATCTAGATCTTGTCAGCCTTTTTTTTTGTTCGTTGTTTATTTACATATTGCTTTTGTGATTTGTTTTTTTTTTTTTTTTGCTATCGAACGATCGAGTTATATGTTCCATTCTAAACTCTATTGATCAATGACTAACTCCGCAATGTGTTGTTTTGTTCGATCTCAAATCCAATTTTTCATATCAATTCACTGTCATGCACACTCATTTTAATTGATTGTTCGTTCGTGCTTCAACATTTTTCCATTTTTGTGCAGCTACAAAAGGTGCCAACAGCGAAGGACTTAATTTGAAAATGACTGCAGCCGAATTGCGTGCAAAATTAGCTGCCAAAAAGAAATACGATCCGAAAAATGACACCGTTGACCTACGGAAGAAATACGAAATCGTACAAAAACTCTGAGAAATCACCCAAAAACACACACAAAACACCTAACACCGAATTACTATTAAAAATGCAAAACATTCCATTTGGACCAAGAGCAGACAGAATGAAATACAACATCAACAACAAGAAAACGCCTACGGTAAAGCCGCTGTTGCAACGGCAGTAGCCATCACCATTAAAACTACAACCATTGGATTTAAACGTAAAGCAAGAAAACAAACAAAAAAATGGAGAAAAGAATAAGAAGAAATAAAATAAAAAACGGCAAACAAATCAAATTTAATTTTATGTATGCAACAATTGAAAAATTGCAGCTATTTTTATTATATTCATCATATTTAAAAATTCTGCAAGCGTCGCAAAACGAATGAAAAAAAAAAACAAATCAAACGGTTTTGAAACGAATGCAGCAAAAAATGAACACAACGCACAAACACTCTAGCGACCGAGATGATAATCATATACATTTTTTTTTTGTTATTCGGTTAAATTTGAAATTTTGTCAGCAGAAAAAAAGCATAGCGAATAGAGAACGAAAAGAGAGAATAGAAGAGGCAAGCAGCAAAAACAAAATGAATATATGAAGAAAAAAACGCATAATATTAACAAATAACCAGTAGCCATAGTTTTTTGTCATTTGACATGAAGAGAAATGAATGAATTTGTTGAACACGATTCATTCGAAATTGTATCTTTGTTTGTTTTTTGCGTACCCGTTAACAAAAGCGAAACAAAATAAAACAGCAAAATCTAGTGAATCTGATTAAGTGTAATCGTATTACTTCTCTTTTTTTTCTGTTCTATTTTTGATATACAACAAGGTGTATCGACAAAATAAAAACCTAGACAACAACTGCCATATTATTGCATCCGATGATCAACAGTCAAACGGTCAATACACAAAAGCACCAGGGTAAGCACATTGACTGCTTTTTTATTCGCCAAGCACGTACCAAAAGCACCGTATTTGTCGACAGAAATTGTTTCGTCGTCTTTTTTTTCTCACTCACACTCTTTCTCTTTCTTTCTTTTCCTCTCTCTCTCTATCTGTCTCTCATTTTCTCTTCCTCTCCTTCTCCTCCTCTCCACTTTATATCTTTATATTAACAGCGTGTGCGTGCGCGCGCGTATGTATGTTTATCAATCAATGTGACGAGGCGCAAACAAGCAAACAAGTGCGCGTACTCGCGCGCGCGTCGTCATTTAACGTCATCCGTTAGTTAAACATGCAAATAGAAATTTCTTCATACCATCATATCAGTATATCTGAACTGTTCTCTTACTTGGTATTCCATTGGATGTTCTGCAGTTATATTCAAGTCTGATAAGCTCAACGAAGTGAGTGCTTAACATTGATACATTAGCACACGCGTGTTCGTGCGTCCATTAAATTTTCCAACCTTTTAATATCAATTAGCTTTTACCTTGTGAGTGAATTGCACGATGAATCGCTTTATTGTTTTGCAACTTTGCTCACACACACACACACACACACTCAGCCATTTTGCGGAACAAAAAGTGCTGTTGACAATAACAAAATCGATTGAAGTAGCGATAGAGTGGATTGGTTGTGTGTTGCAAAGAGCAAACGGTTAATTACAACCGTTAATTGGTTATCAAAATCAAATTAAACCATTTGAGATAATCAGGTGACAAAACAGCCTCTCGATGTTAAATCATGTCTTTTTTGTCTCTTTGCTTTACATTTCAATTGAAGCAAGTTTTTTTTCGGTCGTTGAGATTACAACGTGTACAATGCAAAAATGAAAACAGAACGAAAAGCATTTTTTTTTGCTGTTGATTTTTCATTCATTTTTTTTTCTGTGTTCTTTGTTCATTGAAAACACACATATATATACGCACCCACGGATGCAAAGAATTTAAAAATCTCTCAAAGTGAACGAATGGCATGCATGCACAACTAGCATTTCGTTGAAATAACAACAAAAACAACAGCAACAACAGCAACGAAAAAAGAAACGTAATTCTATTGTTACTATGTGTGTTCCGTTCTTTCGTTTCATTACAATTACGAATTCAAAGCGAAAGACAATAGTTTAATCGTTAATTATGTAAATGAATAGAGATTATGTACTTTGAAATAAAAATAATGCATTTTCGTTCGTTTGAATTGCGGTGGAGAGATGAGGAGAAACAAAAAAAAACAAACATTCATTAGAAAATGGCAACTGCATCAGCAGCCGCATCAGCAGCGGTAACATTTGTTTTGTGTGATTTTCAGCGACGAGCAACAAAACTGTCCCTAAATGATCCAATCAAAACGGTACAAATACGCGAACACTCACATTGAATGCACCGCTCAGATTCTCTCAACGAGAAATGAGCCATAGATACCGTTAAACACAATTTGAAACCAAATTAATGTGGGACAAACACATTGAGAGAGAGTGAACCGTTTTATTTTCGTGTTCCTCTCTCCCTCTCTCTCTCTCTGTGTGTGTGTGTGTGTGTGTGTTTCCATTTTTGTTTCTCTAGCTAATTATTTCGTTTTTAATCTGGAATATTTTTTGGCAATTAAAAACCCGTATCATTAACATTCCCAAAACGTTCGTCGAATGGGCAACAATCACATCAATTTGGTGCTATTCATTTTTGGAATAATTTCGCTCAAAATGAACGAATTGCGCTTTTGCTGGATTGCAAAATAGATGCAACCTATGCTGCCATGATTAGAAATGATAGGTGTGCGGAACAAAGGGAAATAGTGCAAATGCATCGTTTTGAATTGGCCGGAAAATGTCGAAAGGGGAAAAACACACAAATTTCCTGAACAATGACATTGCAAACCATTTCAAGTGCTTGGCACTGAGATAATAGTTCAAACACAAATACACATCCTTCCGGGTATTAGAGTACAAATATGTAAATTTCCTCTCGCATTTTCTTATCTCGCTTTGTGCCCATTTTGATAATCGAAGTCAAATTTGTCGACTTTTCGGTCAATTAGCTAATCAACGTTTTCAACGCACACACACACACACACCCAATCGCAAATAGAACAACGGCTGACAACAAAATTACACACGGAAACATTCAACCCAAAAAAAATGTGGAAAAAAATCACGCTGTGTTCAATGCTGTTCATAGAAGCATGTGTCAAAATGATAATTGTCTAGCGCCTTGCATCACCAATTTTCTACGTTATTTCGCTGGCTGCTTTTTTCTGCTTAATTTTTTTCCGTAAACGTTTTCATTCGATCGGACCGAGCACACGGCTTTTGACCCAAATCCATGCACATCAGAATATTCCATTCATAAAAGTGAAGGTTCTTGTTTGTTTGAAACAAAGATAAAAGCAAAAAACAATAAACGATATATAATGCGAGATAAGTGATGCCGGATTATACAGTGATTCACTCACGTGACATCACTACATTGCGTTTGAACGTTTGTACACTTAATCAGCAGTTTTTCCTTCACTAGCGAGTCTATTGCAACATGCACAGAGTCTTTTTCGAAGAATTTGTGTCGAAATAATAAGCCCAGAGCAAAGAGCAGAGCAGAGAAAAAAAATAAAATTATCGAATGATATGAGCATGAATCATTGTGCGTTCTCACTGAACATATTTTATATCGCGATTGTTTTTTTTCTTTCTCAAATAAAATATTTAAACAGTTGATCCCATGGAATATTCCCCGAAATAAAACGATTGTTTTTATTTATTGATAAAATACCGACATTTTTCGCTCGAAATGTGTTTCTTTTACATTGAATTCGACATGTTTCTTCCAGTTATGTGCTTTTGAATTGTCTTTCTGAAGATAAAAATTGCACACTTTTTGGAGTAAAGAAATTGCTTATAAGATTGAAACTAAGGAACAATCGACGTGGATACGTACAGTACACCAACAATAGCGACAATTGAGCAAACCGTTTTGATTATAAATGGAAATGATTGTGCATCGATTGACGTTGCTGTTTCTTTGATTGTGGTTGGTGCTACTGTCGTCCCCGTCGCCGTCGCTGCCGCTGTCGCTGCTGATATTACTGTTATTGCTTTTTTAAGCCGATTTTCTGATGTTAATTACGTAAAATGGGCGCTGTTCATCACAATCAAAACAAAGACTCTTCTCTATTCAGAAATGCCTCGGGCCCGTAAAATCAATTTTCTCGAGCTTTAGCTCGATGCATTTTTTGTGTGTTAGCTTTTGTTTGCTGATTATCGATGTTTTAAATAAGTGGAATGGAATTCCCCTCGCCGTCCATTGAATAAATTCCATTCGATTCAAATTCGTGCGGTTGAATTAAATAGACTAAAAATTAAGGAAACAGCTTGATTAGCCGGGCTTGCTTATGAATAAACTATTCAATTCACACATCAAATGGGCCGAAGCACAATAGAATTATTTTTTCTCCTCTCGCCGATATGGAACAACACAAACGAATCAAATTTTTGAAACAGAAGAGAGAAAGAGAACAATAAACGCAAATAAATTTGACCATGAAATTGTACACAGAAATATGAACACATATGAACAGGGTTGTTCTCTCTTTCTTTCACTCATTGTAATCATTTATTTGCATTTTGCACGTTCTCTCTCTTTCATACTCTCTTTCGCACTCGCTCTCTCTGTTTCATCCAAATATTTCGTTTACATTGTCAACATTTGGAAACTCTGGAAAAATTATTATTCTTAAACTGAATAGTATCGAATGTTTTCAGATATTTTAACTGGTTTTGGAAGATGCATTTTAACGGCTATTTCCAATCTAATGACGCATATCTCAGTAATCAATTTGTGTTGAATTTCCATCAATATGTTCATGTCGAAATCGTAGTTTCGAAATTGTTATTGTAAAGCACAACAACGCTTTGAAATCGAATACAACTTTGCCTTTTTATTACGGCGCAAGTAAAATCGCCCACATTTTCGACGACATAATTTTGAGATTTTTTAGAGTTTTTTTAGTATTTAGATTTTCCATATCTCATGAATTTTTGAAGTTCTTCAAATATTTTTATGCCATCAAGTAGCCAGTTCATGAAGCCAACATCGATGATCGCGCCATTTCGAATGAGTAATTTTATCATACCCATTTTACCTGTAATAGAATTCAATTTAATGAAGATCTGATGAAGAAAAAGTGTTTTGAATTTTCTAGCTTACCGTTTTTGAAGTTTCTAATGGCTAAAGTAAGCGGTGTGGTCCCATTGTTTGTTTCCATATTAACTTTTGCGCCGTTTTCAAGCAGCATCTGAGCAACAACTTCTTCTCCTGGAATATTTTTATACATAAATACATTTACTTATGGTCTTGTATCATAAAATTATTACCAACATTTGCAGCCACATGGAGTGGTGCATATCCTTGGTTACTTCTTGCATTAACATCAGCGCCTTTGCGTATTAAATATTTGAACAAGGATTTGAAAAAATATTCCATTTTGAACCAAGAAGGGTCAGTCATCTCAATAGCTTCGTGTAACAATGTTTCCCCATTCGAATAGTATGGACGGTTGATATCAGCTCCATTTTTAAAAAGCAAGTCCAATATTTTTTCGTTGTCTCTATACACTGAATTTTGTATCTTTTTTTTGAAATTATAATTTTTCTTTCAAAACTTACGGCCACGAAAAGCACATATAAGCAGGATATCGACGTCAGCATCAATATTTGCACCATTTTTAATAAGCATTGTCAAAATTTCCACATAATGTTCTCTATCAAGACCTGATTTTAAATAAAAAGCCTTTCGAATTGAGATTTATGCCATTATCAATGAGCAACTGGATCATTTCAATGGAACCACCTTAATCAATAGAACATAAGTTCAAAAATGTCACTTCAACCATTATATAAGACTGTATTACTTTCAATCGCTTCCTTGAGAAATGCGTAATCTTTTTCGGAGTTAGTCCTTACACCACTTACAAACAGAGATTTTGCCAACGTAACGTTTCCTGTATAAATTCATATTTATGATTTTGATTTCATTTTTAAACATTTAAGTCATATGGTGAGCAAACCTTTTCTAACAGCTGTAAAAAGTAGAGACTCGATATTCGAGCTTCTCTCTATGGCACTAAATATAGTTCAAAATTGATTTTCGTGTATTTGTTTTTGTAATAGATTCAGTTTTGGTATGATTTAGTTTTAACTAAAAGAAAAATTTCTCAAATACTTTATTAAAGTGTCAAATTCTTTATCAAGATTATCCATACTTACGATTTCTCTTCAGGATTTGTATTATTTGTAGCATATACTGCGATGATAAATACCAAAAATGCCATAAACAATTTCATGTTCTACAAAATGAAATATGAACAATCAATATATCACTTATCTGTTAGATTCTCTTTTTGGAAGACACATTTGATCCTTCGAATATTTTTCTTTCTAAGTATGCATTTTTGATTTCATGATTTAAAAGAAATTTGCGCCGTTAAAATGGGATTTTTTTCGAATGGCACTCTCGTAGTCATTCCGAGTTCAATTGCAAATTCTTAAAGGATATAAAACATGCTACGTACTGTTGAGAACTTGGTTGTCATGTGTTTTGATGAAACAAATTTTCGCTTCCCATTTTATTCAGCCAGAGCTTGGCGTTGTTTAATAAAATAAAATATGGTGTGGACACTTCATCTCAATAAATAAATTGAAGAGAACGTTGCATTCGATTGGAACAAGAGCAAAAACTAACTATAATCAATATGATTTAATAGTCCGAAACGTCCAACAAAAAACGAGAGTAAAGAGTGATTTTTCTCTCAAAATCCCCTGAACAATTAAGCAAAACGTTGAAATTTATTCGCCTATTTCAAGGTGACCAGTTCCGAAAAAGTACACATTTCACGATAGTCTCAGTATGTATTTCCTTGTCCATATGTCGGAAACACTTCTGTTTTCATTGTTCACTTGGATTGGCGCGTGTTTTCATGCTAACAGCTTTCGTTCTGTCTTCTCGAAGCTTTCACATGACACCTATAAAGGTCATCGCTAAAAATAAACTCAATACTCCCATCATATTTCTTAAGAAAAAAAAAGAGCTAACTAACGGAATAGTCGAAAGTTGGTTTGTTCGGTTGGTTTTATTTTCGAAATAAAGTGTTTATTATCTTTATTAAAAGTTTTTTGTTTATTTAGGATAAATTCATAATCTAATTGTGTCAGCAAGCAGTCAATGAATGGCAATAATGTTGCAAAGTCTGGAAGAAATATCGAATATTCCTGTTCGTATTCACTTTCTCACACATAAATTCATCATCATTGAGTTTAACAGAAAAAAAAAAAAAAAAACAACTTAAAAAATATCATTTCTGCACTGCATTTGAATAAATATATTTTTTTTTCTCGTAAAAGGCATTAAAAATTGATAAATAAAATTGGAAATGGGATTAAAAAAAAAAACAAATAAATTCGATCAATTGAATGAATTACGGTTTCGTTAATTCAAAAAATGGAGTAGTTTTGCAACAAAATTGGCCAATTTGACTGCCATACACGGTTTTTATTGTTTTTAAAAGTTACTGGTAAATTTAGTTCTGGTTCAACGATATCAATAAATTATTTATGTAATATATATAATATGTTATAATTCGAAAAAATCAATTCATCTAACTCATCGACCTAGGTCGACATACAAAATTTTTTAATACCGGATAGATTTCGCGGAAATTAGTCCAATTTCAAACTTTTTTAAGTATTTGTTTTTTTTTTGTTTTTGGTTGTTGTTTAGTTCCGATTCAAGCTAATCAGTTTATATGAAAAAGTTCGAGGTAACAATTCAAATGTAGGACATCACATGAGTGGACATTGGATCTTTTCAGTAAAAAAGTATTAAATTTAAAAAAAAATTGAGTGCTTATGTTTGTAAAAAACGAGAGGATCCTGCTTCATTTCGAGTTAATAAAATAATCTTAGGCAAACTTAACATAATCAATGAGTTCGTTTGCAAATGCACTGGAATTTGAAAGAAAAAAATTGGTTTGAAGAATAAAAAAAAAACAACGATTTTTCACAGAAAATGATCGATGCCTTGACGGATAAACCCCCATTTGAATTGTTCGCCACGCATTTTCAAAAACTGTCTATTTGTTTCATTGAGTAATAATTGGATTATTGAAGTTTTCCCCTAAGCTAATAAATATAAATGTGTATGTATACGAATATGTGTAACCGAAAAAGAAAAGAGAAAATGCAAATTACATAGAAAAATGGGATGCGCATTGAATGAAACTGCATCAGTTGTAATTTGGCATGTGTGTGTGTGTGTGGCGCCAGTCTCAAGTTATTTGCATTTTTCGGCACGTGCATAGCCACTTAATAATGCGGGCATTGCGTTCAACAATCGATGTCGGTTCAATTGGTCGATATGGTTGCGTTTCCAGCTGTGTTTCGGTACTATCAGGTAATTGATCGGAATCAACAGTTGCAACATCGGAAAAGAATACCGGGCTTGATCGATTCGAATCGGATGAATCGGCCAAACCAAGTCGATCAAAGAAACGTTCCAGTTCGGTGAAATTCTCCGATTTGGCACGTTGATGTTCGTTAATTGTACCATTTTCGGTCAAATACATTGGATCACCTTTGTGTACATTTCGACTGAAATACCGATGGCTGATGTCACTTTTCGAACGCAATATTGGCTTACGATCATCCATTGTCATATTACCCGAAAAACGATCACTGGGCGATGGATGCCGTGATGGATGCTGCTTGAGACGCAAACACTTTTGCCGTTTAAATGTTCCCAATGGTGGACTAATTTCACCTTCAATCGGTGATCGCAAGTCATTGCTAATCAATGCTGCCGCCGTTACTGTTGACCCATGTAAATTGGGATCATAGCCGCCGGTGTTATTATTGTAAAATGTTGACACTCTACTTGCCCGTAAAATGGGCTCATGGTCAACATAATTTCTATGTACTTTTGATTTGTCATCTGTATCATTATCGCTAAAATGATCCTGGAATGCCTCCGGCACAACAGATGTTGTAAAGTTAAGTAAGCAATTGGCATCGGTTGGGCTTTGATTATCACATTCGATGCAATTCAATCGACTAGTGGCAACACCAACTCCTCCTACTCCACCACCTCCTCCGCTGTATACATAGTATGAATTTCCGCTATGTTGCGTTGACGATCCACTATCGCGTCGATTATCTGGTCCATAGTATTTTTGTGGAAAATTAGAATATGATTTTTGTTGCTGCAGCAGCTGCTGCTGCTGCTGCTGCTGTTGCAGTTGTTGTTTTGATTGTGGCGGCATTTTATGTGGATTTTCTTGCTTATAAAAAGGCTCGCTCCGATGTGTATAGTGTCCCGATGATCCGCCAGAGTCTCGGTTCAATGAGCTGTTTGATTTATTCGAACGATTTCCACGACCTTCTGAGTACTCGCTATAAGGTGAATTTCGATTAGTTTGCGTATGTGTGTGCAGATCGGGCAGGGATTTGTGATTATTATGGGTTGGTGATGCATAATCTGGTTCTTCTACATCCGCTGCTTGCGAATGGGAATAGGATCGTTGATAATTTATGGAACTAAATGGGCAATAGAGATAAAGAGAGAGAGAGAGAGAGAGATTGAGAGAAAGAATGAGAGAACAAGCACAAAAACATAACATGATTCTATTTTCTTCTTCTTTTCGTTTTGTCATTTGGAAGCTAATAGGATTCGTAGATGCGAAATTAATTCGAACGATTTCTTACCGATTATCTCTTCGGTGAGAGCTTTGGTGCATTGGTGAGTCATTGAATTCGGCATATTGTGCATATTCGGCTGGCGGACTTATCGGTTGATAGTCACTCAATATCGAAGAACTCTTATAATCACAGTAAATGTCATCAAATGTGGTATTGGTTGATGGTAAGGATTGCGGTGAAAGGAATGCGCTTGGAAACATCACATCGTTGTCGTTATTCAAATCACTTATCGGATGTATGGTCAGCTGAAAAAAAGAACGAAATGAAAACAGGTCATTTGTGTTTCGAATCATCATTGGGCAATTTTAGTTTCCCTCCAGCTACCTCTTGATTGAAGCGTTTTGGTGATGAGAATTGTTGCGGTGGCTCAAATTTGGTGTGCTCCAAATCAAAACTGGGCCGTCGATTCTTTTGCTGAGCAGCGAGTACATAGGGATCAAATACGCTGTCCTTTGGTGAAGATGAGTCATTGATGAGTCGCCGTAGCTTTATTTGGAGCAATTCCGAGTTGGCCGACACCGATCGCCGATTGTTCAGCGTGTGAACACGTTGATGTGGGAATGTGTGCGATGGCGATATCAAACCTGGTGCCAAACAAAAAAAAAACCAAAAAGATGTTGATGAACTTCGAAAACAACGGTTCCGTACGGAAAAAAAAGCACAATCATTCAACTTACAAGCATTTGACGTAAAATTGGTGGTATTTGATTTTGTTGCAGGCGGTGTACGCATACTTTGATACATAAGCTGTTGTTTTTTGTCCAGCACATTCTCCGATTTTACATAGTACGGTTTACTTTCGGCCAACAGTTCAACAGCCGATTTGCGCTTCGTATTTCGTACATAGTTTGGATCATTGATCAGTGCCGAATGTACAGCGGTGCCACCGCCAATTGTTCGATAGTTTTTCTTGGTTTTCTTCGGCAATTGTGGTGGTATTTGGTGTTGTTGCTGTTGCTGCTGATGATGCTGCGCCGACTGTGATACAAATATTGATGATAAAGCCGTCGAGTGTTTGAGTGAGGTAAAATTTTGGTGTGGCAAATAGGGTGTAGGATCATGATAGAATGGCGAATGTGCATGTGATAAACCACCGTCCGACATGATTTGATTATGTGGATTGGATAGTCCATTGGAATTGTGTACGATACGGTTATGATGGGCTGGGCTACCGTAAACGGATGCTGCCATCTTTATGTTTCTCTCTCTCTCTCTCTCTCCCTTTGCCTCCCTCGCTATTCCCTTGCTGCTCTAATGCAGTTTTCCAATTGAAGTGACTGCTTTCGCTGTGTCAATTGATGTACAACACCAAGTTGGCGAGGAAAATCCATTCAGTTTTCTTGCGCCCTTATACCTCGTACCTGACAAAGACGAAGAGAAAAAAACAAAACAATGTGTGAATTCATTTGTGTATAGAAAGCTTTTCTGAAGCTTAGAAAACCGAACATGTTCAATTTGGCACCGGTTCATTCGATTCAAATCGAAAATTAAAAAAAGAAATACTAGAAACTGTTTTAGACGTTATAGGGTAGAGAGAGAAAAAAAAGGCTCGATGCTATCCAGTGCCGTCTTAGCACTTTCGGGGGCCCTGAAGCAAAAAATTTCCGGGGCCCTAAATTTTTCTCTCAATAGCACAAAATTCAATATTTTGAATGTTGCGCCAATTTCGATTGAATTCAAACAGATGAATTCAGAGTTATTAAACTATGCCGTTTTTCATTTATGTTTTGATTACTGCTTAATACTGCTGGACATGAACGCTCTTATTCATACGAATGTATATGTGACTCAACATCCAATTCGAATTGACAAACGAAACTTATCGTTATCTCTATTCTCCCTCTATGTTTAATTACATCCGTTTGGAAGAGTCAACCATACTTGGCAATAAAGAATTTCGCTCAAACGGTTGATCGATAAACTGTTTATAATTTGATATGTAAACAATTTTATACCACTGACAATTCTATTAAAAAGTGAGCCACACTACTTACACTCAATAAGTAAGACAGAAACAACAAATAAGGCGAAATATACACTCCCCGAAATAATTATAGCCGTACTTTCATTTTTTCAATTTTCTTAAAAACAAACGCAAATATTGTCGCAGTTTTATTATATTATTTTACTAAGGGCCATTGTGTTCAATCGAAAATTCGTGAAAATATTTTGAATTTTTTCAAAAACTTCCACAAGAAATGGTCATTTCGTGACTTTTTCTGAGGTTATGTCGGCCATTTTGCTTATTTTTACCAAAATGCTAAGAATTTTTGCCGATATTTTGCATAATATGTTGTATTTATTTCCATATGTATATGACATTTTTCGTCTTGCAGTTAAAATTCTTTTATTACTCAATGAGTATTACTCATTGAGTAATCAGTGATTAAGTGGTCGTATTAATCATCGCGAATTTTGGGCGTTTGATTAAGATTAATTAATCTTAATCAGATAGTCCGCCCATCTGTAGTTTTTTCTAATTTTCTTTGATAAGATTTTCTCTTAATATTTCAAGGGCCTTTTCAGCAGCTCGGGGCCCCTGAAATCGCAGGGCCCTGAAGCGGCTGCTTCATTCGCTTCCAGGCTAAGACGGCACTGAATGCTATCCGAACATGCAGTTCTGAATCTAAAACACACCAAAGTGAAATGAACGAATCGAAATTCGTATGATAGTCATAATGGAGTTCGTTCAACGGTTCATGGCAGAACAAACACACATACAACATTTCTCTATCAATCACCTTTTTTTTCCTCATTAATTACAATATATACACTGAATTTTTTTTTTATTTCACTGGTGCTGTTTTGTTTGGTGCGAATCACAAAGCATGCCATGGGTATATTTCTTTGGTGTATGCTTCGTGTGTTTTATTTTTTTTCTATTCACTTCTTTTCTATCGCTCTCAAAAGGTTCATTCTTCACAAGTTAATTGAAAATCATTTCACCTTTCACATCATTCGCAGTTCATTCTCCATTTGTTTCATCTCGATATATAATTTTTTTTCTCCTCTTCTGCCATCGTTGGCTGTGCTTGGCTGTATGTGCACGCATGTATCGATGTTCTCGTTCATAATCTACTAACGGATTGGATGGTGTAATAAAAGAGTTTCCATCAACTGATGTGAATGCAAAGCGAAATATTGCGAATCATACACACGAACGAAAAAAAAAATCAACATAGAGACGCGTATGTATAACCGACGAAGAAGAATAAAGCGCAAAGTGATTGACGCTTGACTTGAAGAAAGCATTCACTCTAAATCTTTGCACGCGCGCGTCTATCGTTGCTTGTCAACTAGCTCATATGGCGTGTGTGTATGTATACTGTACACACAATGCATGTTAGGTGTTCAGCGCGCGCCAGAGAGAGAGAGAGAGAGAGAGAGAGAGAGAACAAAAGCGACTAAACATATGAATACAAAGGGAGATCACGAAACCACTATGCAAAAATAGAAAAGCGAAAAAATACGATAGTAGTAAAGAGATGCTTAGAAGCGAAATATGAAAATGGTTATTATTATTATTTTCGACGAAATGATTCAAAACACATGTAGTAGAAAGTTGAGATGGCAAGAAATACAATAACATAGAATTTCGTCGAAAAAAACGACAATAAATGAATGACTTTGGAGCAATGATTGATTTTGGCTTTATAAAAATAGGACTTTTCAAGAGATGCCGAATCTATTTGGATTTCTTCTTCATCATCATCATCATCATCATCATCATCATCATCATCATCATCATCATCATCATCATCATCATCATCATCAATTGGCTCGTGTCGGTATTGTCTCATTTTCTCTATATTGCCCAATGTCAATGATTGCTATCTTCCAGCAGATCAAATAATCGCCATATTATACACACTAACCAAACAATATAAACAACCAAAAATATTGAAGAATGGAATTGGGGAACGAAAAATGAAACTACAGTAATAAAGATCATAAACCGTACACATGATACATGTACAATTGAAGTACCATTGAACAACATCTAAAATGATGTATGTTTTTTTTTTTTTGATTTTGTACACATTTTTTTTCACCATTTCGACACAATAGCCATCAGCTAATTTCGGTACGGTTGAAAAAGCAGCATGACTCAACCCAATCCATCTATGCACACATATGACATAAAACAATGGCGATTTTTTTTTGTCAGGTGAGAAGAGCGAAAAATTTTTTGGATAAAAACCATAGACCAATAATATATTATATACATAGACGAGAGAGGTGAAGAAAAAAAAAAACAACAGTTCATTGGGTGTATAATATACACGTCACAGCGAACCACACGGCTGTGTGCTAAAAGGTAGATGATGGCCTTGAATTGAACCGTAGAAAATGTGAAACATGATGTGGTTACTGGCATAGGAAAATTCGACATACATCCTAAATACACAGCCGCCACACAATGAGTGACTTTGTGATGGATTTATCGGATCTCCAGTTAAAATGTACTCGATTTTAAAACAACAACAATAATAATCAGAGCTCAGTTGAGTACGTACAATAAGTTTTCCCTTCATTCTGCCTCTCTTTTTTGGCTTTGAACACCGAATATTAACTCTTCGATCAACGAGTGGAGATATGGTTGAGACATTGATTTGCTGGTCTAACAGCAGCAAATCGGGTGATCGAAAAAAATACACCACCAACAACAATAGCAACCAACGCACACATGCACATGAACGAACGAAAATAAACCAGAACAAATACTGAAACACAAAACTCAAGCAGCTGGTGATGAAATAGGTGCATCAAATTAGGGTAAAAGGTCAACGCGATTTCACATCAAATCATCAGAATGAAAATGTTTTTTTTCCCTTCTGTCGACGGATGACTGTTTATTGTATAATGTGCTTACATTGCATAGTTTTTTGCTGCTGCTGCTGCTGTTGTTATGCTGATGTTTTGGTTAATTTATATTGAATAATTTCAAAAATGGCAAAACAATGCAATGCTTACGCACACACATCATCTGACACACGACGAAAAATGTGTGTACGCTCAAATATGGAAAATTGAAATGAAACATCAACAACAACAGCAGAAAAAAAAAACTAATAAAAACGGGCGAAAATAGGACAATTAAGAAAGCATATATGCAATTGTTGTGTGTTGTTTTTTCCCTTTCTCTCGTGTTCCGTTTCGGATTGCTTCGGTTCTGGTGTATGCTCTGTGTGTCTTGTAATGTTTTTTTTTCTCTGTTTCATTCATTTGCCTTCTTTCTTTTTGTTGCAACGTGTGTATGCATGGTGTATGAGCATCAGGCATCCACATAAAATAATATTGGAGAGGAAAGGAACAACAGAAAAAAAAACACATGCCATGATGAATAACAACACACAAGTGCGACACACCAACTTAAAATAAAATGAATTTATTGAATTTTCAATAAGATGTTGTTTTCGCCTTGTTTGCCATCGTCATTACTATCGCGTATATGCCCCATGTATTACACTCTCAATATAATACGCACACTGCACACATATTGTGTGTATTATTGCAATGCACACGCTTTATTGTGTGTTGTCTTCTTTGCGCCTAAAAGAGAAAGACCTCTTAATTTCATGGCTATTGGATAAAAGAAAAAAAAAAGAAGAATATATGTCTTATTCCCGTTGCTATTTCAATAAATAATCATCGTTAGCTGATGGCTCTGGTGTGTATGTGTATGTATATGTGATCACAAACTAGCGCTATTTTCTATTTTTTGCCTTGTGCTCTCTGCCTATATTTCAATATATTATTCCACATTTATTCTTCGACTTTCGTCATATATGAGCATACACATTTTTATTTTCTTCCATCGTTATCTCCTTCTCTCTCTCTCTCTCTCTTTCTCTCTCTCTCTCTCTCTCTCTCTCTCTCTCTCTCTCTCTCTCTCGATACATCTCTCCCCCGTACGGATGCGTGTGTCGATTCGTCTATAAATGTTTCTTGTTTCCCATTTTCGGTGGTTCATTCTTTTCAATTTTATTTTATTAGTTTCAATTTCATATGTGTGATACAATATTAAATGGAATGAACAAATAGACGAGCAGATGGGTGTTTATCGTTTCTTGCTTAAATAACATTGTTTGGTAAATAATTTTTTTTTTTCGAACTTAGACACACGCACACATAAAATCTCTTTCTGGCATATGTGGAAAAAAAATTTCACATCGCGCCTCCGCTTAACTCTGCTATATGCGTGAACATCGATTAGATATTTTGTACATATGCAACACTAAAAGTTTTTGATTTTTCCAAATCGTCTTCCCTCCGGATTTAACGTGTCAGCTGAACCAACTGCTCGGTTCAATAAAATCAACTCGACTCAAATTACTCGTTGTGTGTGTGTGCTTTTCGGTCACAACCTTTTTGAACTCATAATAGAATGGATCGTAAATCGAGTCATTGAATCAATGCGTATGCTTATATTGTGCTGAACTATATGAGTTTTTTTCGGTTGTTTATTTTAAAAATTTCCCATTCGGTTTACGATTGGGCCACTCAAAATCGACTTACAAACGGATTTCAATATTCGAGCCGCTGAGGTGGACCAAAAAATACACCCAGTCTGCACAAAATTCAAAACTTTTTGTCCACTTTTGGAACGCAAAGCCGATACTTGTAATCGAACTCGGCGCGTGTATGCTGATGCTTTTCAGCTAATAGTAGAACATTGCATAAGATATAAATAGCTCGGCGAACATTCAAATAATTGATCTTATTAGTCATCAGTATGGCAAAGAAGATCACTATAATATCGTTATTTAAAAGAAGCTTTAATACTTTGCGCAATAATCCAGGTGAAATTTAATTCAACGACGACGACGACGTCAGACACTCATTCCTCCGTGTATGTTGCTAGCATGGTGCGGCTGTTGACACTATATTTTCCTATATTTCGAATTGGCGCGCTGTTTAGTTCCGATTTGAAATGTTAAATTACATTGATGTGCCCTTTGAAATTGGGGGCGCTCGCGTCGCCTCAAATGACTTTGACGTTCAACAGCCGCCACACGGTTGCTAGGCTAGAAAAATTGATTTAAAAGAAAAATCTTCTGGCGTAACCTTAGCCGATTGAATGCGGTTGCAACCAATATATAAACCAAATAACGAAAATAACATTTACGCAAAACGCCAAAGGAAACAACAAAGAAACAAACAAAATCGAAGAAGAGCAACCGACAATGAACGAACGATAACAACAACAAAAAACAGAGCACTTCATCGTTTTGATTGGATTTGTTTTTCTTTTTTTCTATTATGTCCATGTTTATGGAAAAACAAATGCGCTCGCACTCTCTGTGGCGCGCACGAGCTCGAGCAATACAATTTCGATAAGCATTTCCATGTACATAGATGTGTGTTGTGTGTATATAATAGCATGCATTTAAAGCAACAACAAAAAAACACACTATTAGATTTCAATAGCGCGCAGATGCAGCAACTATTATGAGTATTTCATAACTTTTCGCTTCGTTCAGTTAAAAAGTTGATTACGCTTTTTGAAATCGAAAACAAAGCTGATAATTTCTTCGACAAGCCATTGTATTTGGGCGAGAAAAATTCAACACACACACGTGGTTTTTTTTTCTGCTCGCTTGTTCCTCACTTCTATATTTGAACAGACAATTGTTCAACATTTGTTTTTTTTTTCCTCGAACAACGTGTGTGTGTGTGTGTGTGTCTTTGAATTACTGGATACGTTTGATTGGGAATCAATAGTCTTTCGGAAGTTATTCAATGCTTTTTTTTCTCCTCTTGAGTGTATGTTCAATGCTCATAACTTTATTTTGAAGGTTTCAAATAGCACTGTTTTTTTCTCTCGGTTATTGTTTGAAATAATAATCAACTGTCCATTCAGAGATAGAGATAGTGAGAGAGAGAGAGAGAGAGAGAGAGAGAGAAATTCTCACCATCATTATGAGTAGTTATGTGTCGCGACACAGAAAATCGTCGCAATTTTTCGTCCATGATGTCTTAATTAGTGAACACATGAACAAAAGACGAAAGTTTCTTTGTTTTTTCCGCTATCTCTCACTCTCTCTATCGCTCCCTTCCTCGCATTGTGCTGAAAACATTAGAAAGGAATTAACACTAGGTGTGAATGTCTCTTTGGTAAATGAAGTGGTCGTGGTCGTCGTCGTCATCGTCGCAAAATCTCAACGCACTCACATTTTAATTTAAGCATATTAAAGGCAGTCAAGTGGTGTAGTGTGGATATATCTAATTTCCTCAAGTAAATGGATGCTCTCTCTCCCATAGAATTAATATCGCGCAGGCAAAATCCAATAAATAGATTTGTACTTCTTAAAAACCGGATACCGAGTTAAAACACCGTGAGATCGAGCCAAACGCTCGGGCGTTATTCATGCATTTTTTTATCTATTGGATTTTACTCTTAAGTCATATTTTGCTGTAATGCAATTATCAGTAGTAGTTCAATACTTCCTGGTAAATGTTTTACCTTCTGCCGTTTTTCTTCTCCTTCTTCTTCTTCTTCTTTCTCTCGCACTTGCTGTGCATGTTTTTTTTGTGTGTCTTTCTTCTTAAAAGTAAATAAACAAATACAAATATGGAAAAAAAATATGTAAATTACATAATTTCAGTGTGTTGGTTGGGCTCCACAAAAAGGAAGATAGAAGAACAGTTGTCCGTTTCTAGGCGCTGATAACTGGTAATATACTATATTTGACGATAAGTCTGCAGCAATCGAGGCCAGTACAGTTCAAGTCAATGCATTCATGTGCGTTTATGATTGCTTCATTTCCACCGAAAAAAGAAAGAAAAACGAACGAACCGAACCGAAAAAAAAATCGACAGTGACAGCACTTGATGAATGCACAGTAAGCAGTAATTGGGTTCAATGGAAAACGGTCGTGTTTCTTTTCTTCTTATGTTATTTCGGTTGGGTAGTCAATTTTTTCCCAAACAAATCCATCAATTTTTTTTGCTTCGATTTTCAATTGGAATATGACGATAAACACGTATTTTGATTAAAGGAACACACATGGGATCTAACTAGAACTATATGCTAATTATTGAACTCACGGCAAACGAACACAATTTTTTTATATATTAATTTTTAAGGTATAAAAAAAATTTGATTAATTTTCTAATTGGTTGTTTTTATTTATGTTTGTTTTTTTTTTCTTATAATTATTGTTGGTGGGTGCCTAGACCCTCATTTTAACACTTTATCGAACACAGCACTTGGAAACTGTCTCCAAAATTTCATGCAAATTCGATTTTCAGTGTATATATTCGAGATATCCCATCTGATTGATCTCTGGTTCTCTTAACTTCGGTGTGTACGAAATGCAAAACACAACATAGACACAAGGGAAAAAAATGATTAAATTCGTATTATTGCTGCTGCTGTTTGTTCTCGCTTCAAATTTTTTATTCATTCGTTTCAATAACATTTGATTATCAGAACGAAAATTGTGCGGAAACCAGTGGAAAAAACATTTTTCTCGTTCATTTTTTGCACACAACTTGTTTAAATAAAACTAAAATATAAACTGTTTCATGTTTGTATGTTGTGTTCGAAAGTGCTGTTGGAAAAGTTTTGTCGTGGATCTCTGTTACTTCTTTCTTTCATGTGTATATAAATATCTATCTGTGTGTTTTTTTTCCCTCTTCTTTTCTCTTCTCTTCTTTTGGCCACTCTGGTTGGACTGATTCTGTACGTGTACTTCGTGTGTAATGCATGAATTTGATGTTTTTCTTTCTTTCTTTTTTTGTATTTGGTGCGCGCTCGTTCTCTCTATCTTTCTCTCTGTCATTCTGTTGTCGTCGTCTGCCTCCCCTCTTTTTCCACTGTTACTCCAGCCTTTCAATGCATTTTAGCACAAACACACCGCTCGCGCGCGCGACACACCAAAACATCAGCTAAAATGGATGCATTCAATACCGATGGGTAGAATTCAATGTTGCGGTGTCAGACCATATATATTTAAATGCTAAAATTTCGTTTTACTCTTTATTGGTTTATACATTTAACAGCCTGTAAGGCCACTTACAAAATGTAATTGGGAATTATTTTAGGTTGAAAATTAGAGAAGAAGAGAGTGTGTGCATTTTATATTATCTTTTTTTTCTTGTTAATTAACATTTTTTCATGGGTGTAACATTAATAATTAATTGCTGATTGGTGTCCTTGAAATGTATCAAAATCGATATAAAGTACACCCTGGTTTTCTCTTCTATTTCGATAGTTTGCGTCGACTGGAGCGTCGTGTACTGGTTGTTGCTGCTGCAGCTGCTGCCTCGATTGGTTCATTTTCTTTGCGCTTTTTCCGACGTTGATTGTTATCATTTTCCGACGTCTCGTCAACTGCATCAGCATCCACTTTCTTCCGTTTGGTCGCTCGTTTATTTATGGCGTTCATATTTTTCATAACACTCGTTCGTAGGCTGGTGTCATGTTGCACTTCTTTGATTATCGAATTATTGATACTTGATCCCGTTGATCCAGCAATACTTGACGTTGAACCAGTTGCCGTTAGAGAAGCAGCCGTAGACACTTCGGTCGTTTCATCATCATCGCAATCACTGTCCACACTCTCATCTTCTACACTTCCATCACTTTCATCATCATCGTCGTCCGGTTCATTTTGTCGGATTTTTTCAATGGCCTCACGCAATGCATGCGTTTTTATACGGAAATCACGTACCGTCCCCAAATGCAGCAACTTGCTCAAATCATGTTCCGTTTTTTTGCTCAACGATATCACAAATTTGTTGAAATTCTCAATGCGCAATATCAATTTCGGGATATGCTTTGTATCACGCATCACTTTGGCCTTTTGATTTTTTGGCTTCTTTGATTTTGATTTGGGCGCTTCATCATCACTGCCCACGTCTTGTTCACTCTCAAAAATGTTATCTTCAATAAATGAAATCATTGCATACACCTTCAACGGTAACTTTTTGCCCAGCGTTTGTACCAGCTGATCGAATTTCGTCGATTTGTACGTAATTGGCGACACTTTTTGACGAGCGATGAAATGTTTCGTCAAATTGGCCAGGCACACGTACAATTTTACGAGTAATTTGGTCCATGTATCGGTACATGGACCTACCGGTTGCATTGAATTGGACAAATGTATGCACACCCGCGATATGAATATGAGCTGTGCGCATATACGACGTTCCGTTGTTACCATCCGATTTTCACACAATTTTCGACTATCCTCATTTAGACCGCCCGTTTTCATTTGGGTACAATAGCTTTTTACTTTCAGTATAAAGTATTCGATGTCTTCGATTTGCTTTCGCAACGCATTGCACAATTGGATACAGCATGTTTCGGCCGTCAGCTCATTCACCGATTTTAGTTCATCGACATCGTCAAGAGGCTCCTAGAAGTTGTTGTTTTTTTTTTAAATGTCAAAATCCATACGAAATGGAGTTTCAAATTATAGAACTACGTACCACTTGAATTTGCGTCAGCAATAATTCGATTTGTTTTGCGATTCCTTCGAATATTGGTCCTTTTTGCGAACGAATACGTTGAGTAAATAGCAGTTTGTGGACGAGAGTGTTTAGTTCGACATCCTCGATGGCGTGATCGTTGCAGTAGGCGGTCAACCAATTGTGCACCTCGTCCGCTTCATCGACTGCCAAGCTGATGTGGTTGTACAGCATCTCTAAGCATTGAAACAGCGTTTGTAAGATAATCTGGTGTTCGGGCTCAACGTCGTTGTTCTCAAACGATGACACCGTTAGACTGATCACACCTTGCAATATCTTTATCAAATTGGTGTTGACGTTGTTCAAATGCGCATTTTCGAAAACTGAAATTGAAAATTGATATTTTTATGCGCTCATCAAATTGATGCCAATTTGGTTCTTTTATCAAATTGTTCGAAAAACAATCGACAAATTTCTTTTGGTCTTTCCAACATTTCAATACCAAAATTTTCATAGTTCACTTACGCAAAACTTTCAGGAAATCGATAAACTTTCGCTCGTACAATGCAATTGCTGTGTTGAGACACTCCCGGAAACAGTCGACCGAAGCGTGTGCCATTTCGATACCAGAATCATCCAGCATATTGGCCAAATTTTTGATGAAATATTTCAGCATCAATGCCGATATATCGCACAAATACTTGAAATTTGATCGGCTGTATTTGATTTGTTTGTAGTCCGGTGCGGATCGCATACCTTCCACTTTCACTCGAGCTATGTTCAAAACATAAACACAAAATTCTGTTTCGTTCCATAACAAATTGGGCGATTCAGTTTGGCTGGAACATGAATTGAATTGAAATTAGAACATTTCGACTCGAAAAATAGTGAAATGTGGCGCTTAATCAATGGACAGAAATTCGATCGCTGTGATAAATCTACACTACGAGTCTTACCGACAAATAGCCTCCAAAAATCCGTGCACCGAGATTAAATCCCAAACATTTTCCGGTTTCAACGGAGTCACTTGAGCCGTTACTTTCAATTGACTCGACAGATCACCATCATCGTTTTTCTTTCGATGTGTTTTCTTCGCTGCCGCAACCGATTCCTACGACACAAATTTCGAATCTTATTTAACTGCAATTTCAAATCGATTTATGAATCGAAAATGCAAAGAGACATACGTGAAGTTGATCGAGGCATTTTTTATGATGTTGGAACAAGCGTTTGATTGTTGCTACCGAAGCAACGCCAATGTTATGCATTTTCAGGCAGTAATACATCAAACCTTCCAGACAATTCACGAACTGAAGTCCAATGTGTCTGGCCATTGGGGTGATTGTGTCCTTCTAAAATGACCGAAGAATTTAGAACAATTTTCAAATTTTTCATACGAAAATTACATACCAAACCAAGATCCTCCAAAGTGATTGTGTCAATTTGCTTGAGTAGTTGGTCGAACAATTCTTTGAGTTCGGTCACTTCGACATCCAGGCTATGTCGGTCGAGCAATATGAAGCACTGTGTGAGGAATTGAAGTAATTCGCCAACATGATCGTTAATCTGAATGCTTGTGGTGTCGCCTTGATTCACCTCAATGACCGCCCGTTCGAAACTAATTTCCACCGTGTCGCCCACTTCACTGAAGTAGCTTCGGAAGTGCCATTCAAGGAATTGCAAAATGTGCGGAATCAATTTGGCATTTTGTTGAACGGCATTGCTCAAGCCTTCGTAGAGGATCTCCTTGATTTCGTACGTTTGATTGAAACATTTGCGCAGAATTCCGATTATCTCCAGCACGCACATATCGAATGCGTTGTTCGGATTGGTTCCGCTGCCATGTAGCTGCTGTGACATCACCGAAAACCCAGAAATACTCAACTGAGTCGATCCACCACGTGCCGATGATCGCCACACCGAATTGCTTCGCAATTGTTTCAGCATCAAACAGAAACCATGAACAGCCATCTGGCGGGTTGATATCGTTGACTGGTACATTGCCTTACGCAGCATTTCAATGAAGTAATCACGAATCAGAGTGTTTGATTTCGTTAGCGGAACGATGAATGTCATCATTCGCATGGCATGGTGGCCAGGGATCTATGGAATGAAGTTGTTTTTTCAAAGAATTTGTTAGTTTCGATCAGAAAAAAATTAAAACTCTACTGAAATTGAAATTATTCGTAAAAAATGACTTACCAGCAGGAAAAAGTCAATAATTTCCTTGATTTGCGCCGTATGCTCGGAAATCAACATCGGATTCGATATACTCAGTTTTGTTAAGCACTCTGATAAGACAAAAAACATCATGTTTGGATTACGTGGATGTTGACTTTTGAAAATGTTGCTTCAAGCTTTTTACACTGAAAAGAGCCATATATTATATACCTGTGTATTGCGGTGCATCTTGATCGGCAAATAAGAATTCTTTGAGATTTCGAAGAATGCCATAGCCAAGTTGATGTCGCACCTTAATCATTTCTTCAAGAAAATGAATACCCAGAACATTGATATTTGAATAATGTGGCGTTTTTAGCAATACAAAGGCCAAGCCAACCAAACCCGGTGTAAATATGTCCTCTTTACTGAAATTCAAAATAAATCATCTATTTAGCTCGGATGAATCATTGGGGCCATATTCAAAGTATGAATTTCAAACCTTTGTTCCACCAAAATCGAGTACACCTTGTTGACATTAACCGTTGAATATTCTAAGGTGTCACGAAACCATGCTGAACTATTGCACAGTCCCACTTCTTTCTCGTTGTTTTGAATGGCGGTCCGAATGAATGGCAATGCACTCGATACAGACAAACGCACCGATTCCAAATACCGGCTCACATTGCATATTGTCAACAGTGCACTCAGCATGAATGGTGTCAACACATACTTTGGATTCGATGCCAGAGTCTGTTTGAATAAGAAGAAGAAAATTCACATATCGCCCATATTTTCGAATGGAAAAATTCCTCGTTCATAAATCTGGAAAATATTCTAATTCAGAAGAAAAACCTACGCGCATCTGTTGAACCATTTCCTTTTCACTGATCTTGTACTCGGAACAGTTGCTCAGGTGATATAAAATCGTATTCTGAGCAGCTACCAAATCGTTGTCATCAAAACGATCTGTGATTTCAATGAAAAATGATGAAATTAAATGGAAATTGGAGTTTGAGAAATGAAAACAAACACTGTTTTACCATAGAAAAGGAACAAAGTCTCACTCACCAATACTGTCGAAGTTCAGTTGTTCACTGTTTGTCGTCTGATCCAGTTGCTTTTGATAGAGATACTTTTGGAAGTATTGATTCAAACTGATCAACGGGATCATCAGTTGAGCTGGTGTTGTGCTTAATGTGAACAGTTGAAATGCAAGCGTTGGCAGTTCTTGTGGTTCTAGTTTCAATAGATTTTCGCACAACTTGTTCAATACTAAAACTTTGTCATTTTTTGATATTGGCATTTCTCTGTGAAATGATCAATAAATTGAAAAAAATTCTATCATTTGCTCTCTCAAAAGATTCAAAAGAACTGTTCACTTACAAAAACATAGCACCAATGCTACTTAAAACCGATTCCGGCCATCGTGTGGTGAGCAAATTTTTGATTTGCGATTCGCAGTATTCGTTTCCGGTTTTCACTTCATTTTGGACAATGATCTTTGGCATATCGCTCAGCAATTTCATCAGTTCCGGAAATAGTTCTTTCCAACTAGAAAAACCGATTTCAACATTGAAAATGTATGCAAAGTTGATACGGAATGAATCATCGTTAAAAATAAGTCGACTGCAGAAATCCATTCAACTTACCCGGTACATTTTGGATCGCCCATTCGCATTGAAGCGATACAATGTTCGCTTAATTCCATGAGCTCACTGGCACGTAATTTAGGTAGTTCAATAAATGTGCGTGTAATCAAATCGAATGTTTGTTTCGATGTGATTTCAACTTTGGTCATTTCGTCGAGCAACGCCATCAGAATGGCAAAACGTGCGTTGGCCATTGTTTCGGAAATCGAATCGCAACCAATCAGCATGTAATTCCACAGAATCGTTGCATCGGAACGATCAATCCGCTTGACAATCGTTCGCTCAAGCTGAAAACCAAAGTGAATAGAGCGTTAAAATTCAAGAGTTGAAAGTTTCAAACCCAAAAGAAAACACAAAAAACGAACGAATGGAACAAAAATCAACTCAAAACAAATGAACAATGAGCTTCCTGGTCACAACAACAAAAAGTACACACCAATTTCTTATCACATTTTGCGATGAGTTTTTGCAATTCACCAAATTCCTTGTTTTGGCCCAATTCAATAATTTGCTGCGCCAAACTATCCGCGCTCATCTGATTTTTGTCCGATCTTCGTGACATTTTCCACTATTTTCTTCTATCCACTGAAATTGTCCGAGAAAAACAGTTGCATTCTATGAACTGATTCGTGTTTATTCCGGTTGTTTACCATAAAAAAAGTGTGTAACTGAAGCGCGCCAATATTGGTGTACACGGTTTGACGTTTTCAAAAAAAAGACGATGAGTGCGTTTAGTGCTGCATTCTCAAACTTGGCAAACTTCATCGGTTGCAATATTGTGACGATTTTCAGAAGAAAAACATCGTTTTTTACTGAAGAAAATTATAAATTGGAAAAAAAAAACTTTTTTAATTGTGAAAATCAATTTTATTCCATTTAAAAATCAAATAAACAAATTTTACGTTCTTGACCATTTACCACTTTCACTGACTGTTTATACACTTTGAATTGAGTGCATCTGTCAAAATTACTTTGACATATAAACAGTTTCACACAAGAGTTTGCAAAACGAAAGCAAGATAATCAAAACAAAACGAATATTTGCGCTGAGCTCAAATTCATGTATAGCGATCGGGTGAATAAAATTCCGTGTAAATACTAAGAAAATTGAGTGGAATTTGATGTGAATTCGTTTGCAATGTACACCATTGAATCTCCAGAGCGAAAGCTAAAACTGTGTGCCTTACCGACGTGCAAGGGCAAGCGTTATGATTTGGTGCACAAGTTTCCCATGAATAATGAGCGTGCTCAGCAATGGATAGACATAATCGATTTGCCGGAATTAAAGAAGTTGCCCATTGATCAGGTTCGAAAACGGTTTTTCATATGCTCCAAGCATTTTCGACCGCAGGATTATAAAAATTGTGAATCGAGAAGTCTGAACACAACCGCATACCCACGATTATTGCTCAAACTCACTGACGAAGAAGCGACTGAACCATGTCCGCAAAGTGTCAGTGTAGAAGAATTTCAGGTGCAAGAGTGTGACTTTGGCGTACAAGAGACAACCATCCATTTGACCGAATCAAATACACACATAACAACCACTGAGAAAACGTCTCCGAAGCCCATTGAATACATTCTTTGTGCATCGGCGAATGATCAACCCGTTTTATTGCGGAGGAACCAAAATATTGAAGCTGAAATTGTTATCCAGAAACCGTTTCGAATACAAGCGCCTACGGTGCTACCGACACCGCCACCAGCTCCAAAACCAATCATCGTGAAAACAAGCTTGAAACCAGCGAATGCAATCATTTCGACGCCACAACCTGATTCGAAAAATCTATCTAAAGAAATTATTCTAAAACGAAATGCCAACTATACAATCGAATCAGTTCGCAAAAAAATCATTCTGAACGAATCGAATGCACCAAAAACCTACCCACAAAAAGGTACGTGTTTCGTACACTATTGGATGTTGTAATGTTGTACTAAGCAATATCTCATTTACGACGCTTGATAACATTCATCATTTTGTTCGTTTTTCCTTCTACAGTGTCAGTTCCACCAGAAGAAAAAAATCGAGGTGTAATCGTTATTCATCACAATGAACTACCAAATCCACTTCAAGTTTGCAGCTTTTGGTTGAGAGATCACTGCCGATGTACAAATTGCTTTGGCGATACTTTACAGCGAAAAATAAATTTAGCTCATATTCCGTTGGATGTTGAGCCCACCCATTCAAAAACTGAAAACAATCTCCTTCGTATAACATGTAAGGGTGATCATTTGTTACCACAATTCATTTGATTTTTTTTTTTTTTTTTTTTCAAAATTCAAATCGCAATTTTTCCATCGATAAATGTTATTTTATATCGATCTCTCATTGACCAGGGTCCGATGGCCATAAATCAAGCTATGATGTATTGGAACTAAACGAGCGACTCAATTCAAAATTCAAACTATGCCCAATAAAACATATTCCATGGTCAGCAGCAGACATGCTAGGCAGTGATTATGCGAGTGTAACATTAAATGACTATTTGTGTAATGAAGAGATTGCCAAAGCGGTAGTTGCAAGTCTTGTCAAATTTGGATGTGCTTTTATAAGGAATGTGCCGGCCAATCTTCAAAGTACAGAGATTGCAATCAGACGCCTATTTCCCATACAGAAAACTCTATTCGGAGAGATGTGGTCATTTTCGGACAATAAAGCTCACAATGACATTGCCTATACAAACGAAGCGTTGCTTGCGCATACTGATAACACGTACTTTACTGATGCTGCCGGTCTGAAAATACTGCACTGTACCAGTCGTGATGGCAGCGGTGGTGAAAGTTTTCTTGTCGATGGATTTAATGTGCTGAAAAGGTTACGAGAACAAAACCAAGAAGCATATGAATATCTTAGCAAAACTAGCATAACATCTGAATACATCGAGGATGGATATCACTTCAAACATTCTGCCCCAGCCATCATCATTGATCCGAAGACAAAGGAACCGAATCAAATCCGGTAAATGTGACCTAAAAAAAACATTTATTTTTCATCATTTATAATTTGTTTTCTCTTTTTTTTCCAATATAAGGTTCAACATGAATGATCGCGCACCTTTCAACGATATTTTGCAAGATGAAATGTTAAAATTTTACAAGCATTACAGAGCATTGGCGATAGAAATTCAACGTGGGGAAAATGAATGGCATTTCAAATTAGAGCCAGGTACCGTGTGTATTTTTGATAATTGGCGAATATTGCACGGACGCACCGAATACACTGGACGTCGACAAATGGTTGGCTGCTATGTGTCACGCAGCGAATTTCATAGCGTTGCTCGAAGATACGCCATTTTATCCTAGATTTAATTTCTTATTTTCGTCGTCACATTCGAACAATTTTCATTTGGTCAATCACCCGAGAATATTTGTCTTCAATCAAAACAAAATGTAAACGCGAAGAAATACATAAATGTGTTTAAACAAATTGATTTTAGATGAATGTAAAATAATTCGTATTGTGTCAGAGGTCTCTTAAAATTTCATTTTAATGTATATGAGTCGAAGTAGTATAATTTAAATGATTAGTTATATTTAACATGAACAATTTTTGTTTCACTTTCGACTAAATTTGTAAAAATTCTTCGAGCTGGAATATTATGAATAAAACTTTTTTTTTGGAATGAATCAATTGCGGCTTTAAAAACTAGAAATTGTTTCGAATCTACAATCAGAGTACTCTCTGAGTTCCATCACATGGAATGATACGTGTGACGGCATATTTTTATACGGAACTTCGTTCCCAGTGCGCCGAGCACTAGCTACATGTAATAACGTGTGGTTTCTAATATTCGGATACGTTTGCTCTATATATAGCAAGTCCCCGGTGCACTGGGAACGAAGTTCCGTGTGAAAATATGCCGTCACACGTATCATTCCATGTGATGGAACTCAAAGAGTATTACATTTAATCTGTTGGACAATCTTCCAAACTAAATTTACAGAGAAAAAACGTCAATCGTAAGGTATTTTAATTGATTCAACATTTCTTCAAAATTAAATGCGTCAATACAACAAGCTGTCAGAAGCGAAGAAAAGATCACCCAGCAATGGTTGTATTACATATCTTTTCACTTGCTCCGTTCCATTTTACATTATAAACAATGCAAATATAAGAAATCGCAGTATATCGGCCTCGTGTCATGTGCAACGACAATCGAATCGGCAAGAAGAATATGTTTGCATTCATATGTTTTGTTTCTATATAACGATTATAGATAATGGTTTTGTTCGGCATTTATGTGGGCTAATAGATTTTCTCTTGGTTTCCATTGATAATACAAACAAAGTGCTTCAAATAATCTTGACACATTGTAATGCTCTCTAGTTAATAATATAAAAGCAAAACGAAACTTCTGGAAATAGTGATAGTAAATGGTGTGATAACGAATTATTTGCTGATACAGCTGAAACAATGGTATTACGACAATTGATTGCCATTATCAGTAAGTTCAGTAAGTTCGTTGTATATTGGGAAATTGAAAAAAAAAACCATGATTATTGAATGCACACACACATTGTTCTCAGTATAAACCGTTGGCTAGTTCTCTTTTTGAATCAACGCCGAGCATATGACAATATAGCTCTTATGAACCTCTTTTTTTTTAATTGAAAACCTACGGTCGTCAAATCAAAATTGATTTTTCGTTCTTTTTACCTTTTCTATAAACCTCCTGTCGATACTTCTTTGAAACAAAATGCCACATCAAAGAGACGGAATGTTGGAAATCCACCATAAATCGTTGCAAAGCCCAATAAAAGTGTGTAGTTTTTGGCTACGTGATCATTGTCGATGTGTTGATTGCTATGGTGAAACCTCTCAACGTAAATTCAATATCAATGACATTCCATTGAATGTTGAACCTACGGAATTGACGATTGAAACTGATACCATACATGTAAACTGTAAGTTGACACCTTTTTAATTCGAATCCACTTGACTTGACTGAACTTTTGGGATGAAAATTTCGTGTCCTAGGGTCAGATTGCCATGAATCAAATTACAACATACTTGAGCTAAATGAACAACTAAACTCAAAACCGACAATCACTGTGGAAAAATGCTTATGGTCAGTTGCAGATATTATTGGCAGCAGCTTTGCCAGTGTTTCATTCAATGACTATTTAGTCAATGATAATGTGGCTAAGGAAGTGGTGGCGAGTCTCATCAAGTTTGGATTTGCTTTCATAAAGAATGTGCCGGCCAATCTTCAAAGTACAGAGATAGCAATTGAACACCTATTTCCCGTTCAAAAAACTCTGTTTGGAGAGATGTGGTCATTTTCGGATAAAAAAGAACACAATGACACCGCCTATACGACCATTGCTCTGCCAGCCCACAATGATAATACATACTTCAATGATGCAGCCGGTTTGCAAGTGTTACATTGTGTTCGTCGAGCTGGTGATGGCGGTGAAAGTCTCTTAGTCGACGGATTCAATGTGCTGAAAAATTTACGAGAACAAAACCATGAAGCGTATGAATATCTCAGCAAAACTTTTATTCCGTCCGAGTACATCGAAGAGGGTTACCATTTCAAATATTGTGCGCCAGCCATTGTCATTGATCCTTTGACGAACGAACCAAATCAAATCCGGTAAGATTTTTTTTATCAATGTCAGAGGGAACTTCTTATTTACTATCAGTGATTGCTATATCGCTCTCAGCATCTCATAGGATAACTGAACGAGATAATTCAGCTGGCTGAGATGACGCAGCGACGCATAGCCCGAGTCTGCGCGATACACATACACACAATGCGCCCAGCGGTATCCGTATACACTCGGTCCCATTTAGTGACGCGCGGCATCGAATTGTGTGTGTGTATCACAAAGACTCGGGCGATAGACTTGGGCGATGCGTCGCTGCGTCATCTCAGCCAGCTGAATTATCTCGTTCAGTTATCCTATGAGATGCTGAGAGCGATATAGCAATAACTGTTTACTATTGCAAAGCTAAGATCGAACGATACTCAGTTGTTTCTATTATTTTACCCCAAGTTTCAACATGAATGATCGGGCACTGTTCAATAATATTCCACAAGAGGAAATGTTAAAATTCTACAAGCATTACAAAGCGCTGGCGACCGAAATTCAGCGCGACGAAAATGAGTGGCGTTTCAAATTAGAACCGGGCACCGTGTGTATCTTCGATAACTGGCGAGTGTTACATGGACGCACTGAATACGCTGGCCAACGAGAAATGGTTGGCGGTTATGTGGCACGCAATGAATTTCTCAGCGTCGCCCGACGATATGGCTTCATCCAGTAGTAGTAGTAGTTTGTTTGATTGCCATAGATATATACAGATATATACCTATAGGCCATGCATTGTAAAACTGCCAACTATACATATTCACTTTTGCTTATGCTTTATTTTGATTTTATTCCATTGTATTTATATAGAAATAGACACTTCGTTTACAAATAGGGTGTTTTCCTGAAATTGAAAAGAGAAAAATGGTAGTTTTCAATTAAAAGAGCATAAAATTAAGTTTCAAATTATGGCATCAATGTAAAGAATCGATTGATATTGACACGTCCCGAAGCAAAAAACTCTTTGCAAAAGCGAATAATGCTTACCCAAAAAACACCTACTAAAGTACTCCTGCGCAGTTAACATCAACCAAATGGGGAGTCAACTTGCTGCTACGCAACTATCCCACATGATCGGGATAGCCATAACTAATGTTACATTTGTTTTTTTTTTTAGTTTGCATTGTGTTGATTAGAAAGCATGATCAGCTGGCTGCTGGTCCTACTCGAACATCTCTACATCATTATCCACGATGGTGACAGCAGCAGCGGCTGCTTCAACAGCTTCGCGGGCTTGGCGCCAATACCTATTGATCGCCTCCGGTATCGGAAGTCCCAGTAATGTCCATAGTCCTGAACAATTGAACAAATGAACCGTCTTAAAAAATCATTCAATCGAAATTGTGCGTCAATTAGTCTTACCTTTCAGTAGAATGTTCTTAGCAGCCACGACGTCGCAATGCCAAATCACAGAGCATTCATGGTTTAATTCCCAGTTTTTATAGTAACTTTTTACTTTTGGGAATGAACGCTCGTTTTCTTCCAATGCTTCTCCGTTCATGGCGCGTTGCAACTGTCGGAATATCGATAGATCCGTCTTGCCCAACTTTGACACAATTTTTGTTGGCAGCAATGTTTTGGCGTCGGATATGCAACGGCATCTCTTGAATCTGGCCTCTTTTCTCTGGTTTTCGAATCGATTCATACATCTTGCGTCTGTTTGAGATAATCCCCATTCGTCCACCAATTATATGAAACAATTTCGGCGCTTTTTTATTGACCTCAAAGTCTTACGAACCCCTGGGCAGCGCACGTGCATTTTGATACTTATTGGGCTATCAGGTGGTATTTCGCCATCAGCACCAAACAAAAACACAGTCGGTTGCTTATCGGTAACCTTATTCACCCATTTGTCGACAACACTACTGCTCTTGATGTGTTTGTCCAAGGCGAGTCGAGTGTATTTGGCAGTCGAGTAAGCGCAGATTCCATGTTTCATCATCTTGACTCGGTGCTTTATGTAGTTCAGCCAGTGTGACCCTTTTGGCGATGGCATCACTGGATACAGCTCACGATTTTCTCTGTCTGCGCGCTCCATTTCGACGAACTTTTTGGTCCATCGCTTTTCTTTGACATTTCGCACCTTTTGACCTGTTTGCCAGTGGAATTGCTTGCTCGACATTACAAAGTTGGTCTGAAAAAATAAATAGAAAAAAAGGTATAGTTATTGAATTTTGGCACTTAAGAAGTGTTTTTTTCGATATTTTCTATTAAAATACATACAACTTATTCAAATGTATACAAAGCTTACTCCTTTGCCAGTTTCATTGTTGTGTGTTACTGTGGTATTCCAACTTCGCGATTCCATCGGTGTTTATGGAAAAGTCAAACTGCTTTTTTCCACGCACGAATCGTCGAATTTTTCGCATGTAAAAATACTGATTCCACCAATAATCTCTCGAATGATTGAAATCCTGTTGTCGGATAATTTTTATGCTTGTTTCTTCGTTTTTATTCTCGGTTTCCACTTTCGGTAGCAATTTTTGCGAAGACAACACCTGGTGCATAGATGTACAATCGATTCTGAAGTGCGTACGCCGAAAACTGCACATTAGGTACCACTACTAAATTTCGGATGATTGGCCGAAAATCTGGGTTGTCGAGCATTTGTCTGCGCTTGCGTTTCCATTTTCCTTTTGTCTTTTTTCGCTTTCTTTTCTTCCGTTTGGGTCGGCGCTGATGTCATTCGGCCACTCCGAATTGTACTCTTCTATCTCGCATTGCATAGATAGGTACATTGGCATGGCCTTAAACCAATGTTGTTTGTCAGTCGTAAGGTCATGCAAATCGATATCTGGAAACACATTCAGGTCGTTCACCATGTCGTACAACAAGCTACACCGTTCGAGTTTGTCTGGATCGCGAATTGGCACTTTGATGTCTTTTTGTTTAATGATCAGATTCACATCACTTGCGATGTCACTTGGCGAAAATTTCTTTGCATCATCTCCTACGTCTGAGTTCAATTGGAATACTTTCAGTTTCAAGTACTGTGTGATTTGTTTGTTAGCATGCGTTGTTAAATTGGTGACAACGTTGTCTGCGTATTGATTCGTCAAATGCTTAAGGCCATTGCTGAAATGTTCGTTGTTGGGCCAATCGATACGATGATAGTCGTCAAGACCTCCGACAATTGCTTTGAATTCAGGATCGATACGTGACAGCTCTGCTCGTGGTCCTCGTGGCTTTTTTCCTGTTGGTTTATACTTTGACTTCGGTTTCGGTGGCTTATTGTTATGCCATAGCACCTGTTGAAATCAGAGTTTGATCTTTCCTTCTCCACTTTCACCAAAGAATGCGAAATCATTATTCTCGACGCCTATATTCGAACGCCTTTTGCACCTCAAACAAGAATAGCAATGAGCCCAAGACGCAAATTGAAGTGGCTTGCAAACTCAGATCCGTTATTTTGGTCATCAATGCTTGCTGGAATTGTGGGCGAATGATTGTCTTTAGCGCACATTTGATCGCCGTAATTTCGTCCTTCGTTTCTCCCTCCGCTGGTATGGATGGCTTCAAACGATTCGCCATTTTCCTATTGAAAAAATACACAAACATTCGATTTAGTTTAAAAATGAATAATATTGAAACTTAAATTTAATCTGGTCGAACGAAAACAGAACGAGAATTTATCGCCTTTTTTGGTATACACACTGATGCAACACACAAAAGTGACAAAAATCTTCGAATTGATAACAATGGCAGTGATTTAGAGAAGTGATTAACTGTTTCTCTTCATCTTTGAACAATGGAACCAATTCATATTGGGTATCACCGCTTGAAATGAATTGTACCACGTCACGCAACAGAATTATATACTGCAAAATTATTGTGAAATTCATTATTTTTTCCATAAAATGTAATATTACTGTTCAAATGTTGAGCGTTAAATAATTATTAGACTCGTTTAAATATATTTCACGTTATAAATGGCTTATAAACCGAGCATCTATGATTGGAATTTTATCACGAAAATAACGGAGCAATGTCTTACCTGAAACCATTCGGCCAATCGGTTCCGTGTTTCTTCATCGGTGGCTTGAATTAGGGTCGAACCGAAGGTGAAGCTGTTGTTGATGTTGTTGTTGTTGTTGTTGTTGTTGTTGTTGTTGTTGCTGAACGGTGATGAAAGCGTCAAAGCTATGATGTCAACGATTAAGATAGCTGCAACCGCGACTACATTCAAAATAGATAGTGTGAATGAAATGCATTTTCTGGTACATACACAAGTTATGCGTGTTCAATGTTCATACTTACTTATAAAGGCGTCGCCGGCTGAACCATCGAAGGCACTCGTGATGGCAATGGCAACTATGGCCACAGCGACCATCCTGGTCCATTCATTTCTTTCACGCGGCTTGGATTTCTGTCATTGATGTTGAATAGAACAATGAGAAGCATATTGAATTGGGAGATGATCCAAATATCATATAATATGAATATACCGAAGGGAAAATTCATATGCTATCAACGATAAATACTCACTTCAACTGGTTCGAATTTTTTCGCCATTGTAAGTTTCAAAAGTAGTAAACGATCAACATCCAATACATCCAATACATGTATATAGAGACAAAAGCATCGAACAGACAAGAAACGAACGAACGTAATAAGCCCATCAAGCCTCTGCACTAGAAGTTCATTATGTATTATTTTCAGTTACATATTCCCTTCACATTCTGAACATTGTTCGAACCATTTGTATTTTAGAATCAAAAGTTAATTCGTTCTAACTGTAACAGAATATGAAAACGAAGAAATTCATAAAAAAGGACATTGACATAAGCCTATGTATACCCACTATTTCAATTTCTGAGAATTTTTACCATTCACACAAAAATGTAACGAATTTTGATGATGATTGTATATGAATAGAAGAAATAATAATTCAAATATTTTGCTTTCACTTTTGAGTAATTTTATATTTGATGGAATCGTATGATAAGAACAACTTTAATAATAAATTGATTGCTTTTTCAGGTTTTTTTTATGAACTAATGGACCTAAAATATGCATACCTTTGAAAAATAGATGCAACGAAATAACATGCATTCTATTCAAGCATATTTTTGTTAGATTTTGCGGCATCTGGTCACACTGATATGTGTTACCATGTCGTTCGAAACAAGTGATTTAAATGGCATTTCTCAGGTGTCAGTTTTGTTGTTAAACGATTATCCGAAGAAAGGTGTTTTTCTTTGCTTTCTCTTTATTTATTATAATTTTTATTCAGTTTAATTAGCTTCAATTTGTATTTAGTTTGTTTCAGATCAAAATATAAAAATGGCTGATCGCGCTGGTAATGTGAGTTAATGGGTTGGTTGTGTTCGTTTGTATTTTGTCCGTGTTATGTTTTTTGCCTCTGTATGCATGTATTGGGCTAAGGTTGTTTCTGTTGTTGGAACTTACAATGGCGAAAAAATACGTGCCAATAGATGTGAGTATTTGTCGTTGATATCATTTCTCAATTGTTCTTCTGTATATTCATATTATATGATATTTGGATCATCTTCTAATTCAATATATGCTTCTCCAGCAGGAACCCAAGCCGCGTCAAACAAATGAGTTGACCAAAACATTTGTGATAGCCGCCGCAGCAGTCTTGGCCATAATCATCATTGCCGTCGTCATTTTTATCTGCGGTTCAGGTCGTGACGCCTTTTTGTGTAAGTATGAACATTGAACACGCTTAACTTGTGTATCAACCAGAAAATGCATTGAATTCACACTATCTATTTTGAATGTAGTCGCTGTTGCAGCTATTATGATCGTTGTCATCATTGCCTTTTCGGTTTCTTCACCGTTCAGCAACAACATCAACATCGGCAACTACAGCTTCGCCTTCGGTTCGACCAATATTCAAGCCACCGATGAAGAAACATTGAAGCGATTGGTCGAATGGTCTGAGGTAAGACTTTTCTCTTTTATTTTTACCCTCTTCTTACAACATTTTTTTGAATTTCAGAAGAAGTACAATTGATTTGCGTCAATCTTCGGAATCGAGCTGCAATCAACTGAGGGTTGAATCAATACCGAAACACAGAACACAATCAAACGTCATTGAAAATTATTCAAAATAATAGAAATAAAAGAATAAAAGCCATAAACATCAAACGAAAGTCTCTTCATATTTTCTTTTTTTGCAATATAATTATATTGTGTGTTCGTCAACATTATGAATTAAAGATAATAAAATAATGGATTTCAACAGTTGGTGACATAAATGTAACGGCTGTTGGTTGTGTCATGAATTCAGTAGTCGGTAGCCTCATCTTCAGCATTCGATTGAGTTTTTGATCTGTGGAAAGGGAATCAGTTTTGCAATGGAATAAATATGTTTTGGCTATTTTTAATTTTGGAACTTGAGATTTGCCAATCGATGCGATGGCATCATAATGACGACATACTTTTTTCTATCGTGGTCTCTGGACCGCATCCGATGAATGAAAGCTGCTCCTTTGTTTTTTCGAAAGTTTTCATACGGATCATTCAAACTGATACCGACGCCTTTGTACTGATCTTGTCTATCACGCACTTCGCCACCAGAAATCGGCGTTTCAATACCTTGGCCTTGTGCACCTAGGCCAGAGCCAGCCCATCCCATTTTCATGAGCAACTGATGACCTTTGTTGGTCTCTTCGATACAATCATGTGAAGTTTTTTGCGAGAAATTGCTGCAGAGAAGCAAAAGAAAAAAGGATTTTCTCAAGATGTTTGACTAAATTCAATTAAATCGAAAATTCTCAATCGAAATTTCATAAACGAATGCCTTACACAAAACTAGTTGGCGGCGTTTGGCTTCGTCTGAGTGCTGGAGATCGTTTTGGTGACTGTCGTTGATGTCGACGATTATTGTTGCCTCGTCTCGATGGTCGAGGTGAATTGGAACGTGAACGACGTTCTCTCTCTCTTTCTCTTTCTCTTTCTCTTTCTCTTTCGCGTTCACGTTCACGTTCACGTTGCTCCCGTTCGCGCAGTTCCCGTTCACGTGATCTTGATCGCGACCGAGACCTTGATCGACTACGACTTCGGCTTTTGCTCCTTGTTTTCGAACGATAACGTCTCTTATTAATTCGCTTCGGTTTCACCGGCTCAAGCAAAATTGGCGTTGGAGACCTTGATTTCTCTCTGATTCCTTGTTCAATTTCTTCTTCTTTGATTTTCTTTGCCGCATTTTTTACCTTGTAATATTCGTAGAGTCCTAGTTTTTCCCATCCCTCGCTGTAAATATCACAATTGTAACAAATTTGAAGAAGAAAAAAATGAAATTTTGATGATGAGTAAATGATTAAGACGAAGACATTTATTTTCGATTGCAAAAAATTCGAATCACTCACCCATCTCGAGGTCGATCATGGCTAGGAAGTGAATAAAATGCCTCCATAGCTTGTAGTAAACGTTCGCTGGGTGGAATTGGTGCTGGTAGTCGAATATCCTCCGGATCAAGTGGCCTGTAACTGCAATCTTCAAGACGAATCAGTGGTACAATCAAACCGGCTGGCAGTTCGTAATAAGGTACTGTTGGTATTGTATCTTCTGGTACGGGCACCGGTTGTTGTTCCGTCGCATTGAATTGTGTGCATTCTTCGATGGTAACGGGAATATTTCCCATTGGTGGTGGTGCACTGAAGCCAGGTGGTGGCTTCGACATATCGGGAATCAAAAAATTAGGCGGAGGCAATTGAAAATGACCCGATTGTGCGTTGTGATTCATCGACTGTCCGCTGTTTGACATCGAAGCTGCAGGAGGCTCCGGATTCTAAACAATCAAATCAATTTGTTATTTCAATTCTGAAAAAGAGTGAGGCGTGGCTCATTCTTACCTGAAAATTATTTTCACCAGGGAAATTCATTCGTTGCTGCTGTTGCGACGAAATATAATTTGGATTCATTCCAGTTCGTGGCATCGATATGTTTTGACTCATTAGAGGCGGCGGCGGTCCGCTATTCAATCGATTGTCATTCCGGTTGAAATTATTCGCATTGCCGTTTATACTATTTTGATTGGAATCGCATTCGTTGGCCAAGAGTGAGAGTTGCGCTTGATCAGCAGCTGATGTTTGTATTGGCGGCTGCGACATTTGCACCGATGTCTGCGGTTGTGGAGCTTTCAGTGCTAATTTTTGCGTGTCGAGAATGGCTATTTGCTGGGCAGCGTGTTGAATGAAAATCTGATGCTGTTGTTTATAGCTGAAATAGAAAGAGATAAATGAGCAATGAATAAAAAAAAATCCTTTGCATCAAAGACATTTGATTTTGAAAGAAAAAAAAAAAGTCTTTAACGAATATAGAAATGATTGAAGAAAAAAAACATAGCAAAGTGCGACATTTCTCACCTTTCGAATGTATTTTGAGTTTGTTGCTGAATAGTTGACACGATTGGCATATGCGTATTCATTAGATTGGTTTTATACTCAGCCATGGAAGAATTTGGTGATTGCAGCTTTGAAATAACGCATGCATCGAATAAATTCGATTTTGATTCCCACAATGCAAGCAATTTCATGAGTTTGGTCTTTTGATCCTCGCTCGCAACTGTTTTTAAATGACAAAGTTAATTCCATTCTCCTTTTGTTTTATTTTGTGCTTGAATATTTTAACACTTACTTATTTCAGCACTACAAAACATCGGAATGACAATATTTTCCAGATTATTTTTTAGGTCATCGGCATGTTTTCGAACACTATTCATTTTCCATATATTCATTTCATGCGACGACGACGACGACGAAGATTTGACGATTCAAAAATTGTTGGCAAAAGAAAATGGATTATTTAAAGAAAATTGAATAAAATGTCAAACTAAAGAGCAATTTGTGAGTTAGTCAATTCTTACCAATGGTGCAAAACATCGTTCACCAAATAAATCAAATGCAGTTTTTGTTGGAAAGTCACGTCATTAATTAGCGCTCTGCAAATCGAACGTGAAACATTAGGAAAAAAAAACATTGAAAAAAATCACATTGAATGTACAACACTCACTTTTTCAATAGGTATTGCATTAACACATGGCATTTAGCCGCATCATTTGCATGTTGTAAAATCCAGTTTTTCCCTGATTTTTTTTTTTTCATTTTTTTTTTTTGAAAAAGAGCAAGTCGAAAAGAATAAGTTAGTGTTCGTTGTGATTGGCTATAAATTGACAAAGAATTGATTAGAATTGATGCATTACCTGCTGAGATGCTATCCTTGGTGCATGAGTCGATGATCGGTTGTAAAATGGTATCGAATTCATTTAATCGAAGGTTGTTCTCTTCGGCCTGCTTTAAAACATTCTCATTTTGCGCCTTTTCAATTGCCTCATCAATTTGGTTTTGTTGCTGCTGCATTAGCACCTACGAATGGTTGAAAAAAAAAACGTATTGTCAAAATGTAGGACTCAAACTCATACCAAATTAATATTGAATGAGATTTGTTAAAAAATGAGATTTTCATCGGTCATAAGCAACTTATTTATATGTACTAAATAGAGTGTTGTTATTTAAAATTCGTCATTACATTGTGTTGTGCAGTCAAATTTAGTTCCGATTGCCGTATTTGTTCCTGCAAAGTCAGTTGTTGAGCGTTGATTGCTTCAATTTGACTAGTAATATTATTATTAACTGCAGTGCCAGTTCCACTCGCACTTCCCGATGCCTGCAGATTATTCCAATTGGGTTGCATTTGCATCATTGATGGTGGTGCCTGTGACATTTGACCCTGCTGTTGATTCTGCTGTTTTAAAACTGAAATCACAGTCCAGAAAAAATTCATAAATTTTTTTCATATCAAACGAAAGAATCCGCTTTAAACTCACTCGCTTGTTCCGTTGACACTCGCCATTGATAGTACTGATAAAATTCACCGCCAAACAGGAAGCTAAATCGTGGATTCGATTGTTGTTTGGCTTTTGTAATCGTTTCAAATTCTGGTCCATTGCGGGCTACGAATTCAGCCAATTTATCAATGATATTTCGCAAACCAGTATCTGTCCCAGCAAAAAGAAAAAAAGAACAAAAAGTCATAAATGTCAAAAGAAAAAAACATTTCATACACACATCCAATGATTTGATGTACATGCAAACACACTCAAATAACTAATATTTATACCTTTTGGCGGTGCCGGTAAATTGTCCATTACGAACAAAATCCTAAAAACGTTGCAATTTTTCACGAATTCACGGCAAACAATAGCTATGCGAGGTTTTTTTTTCTCAATTTTTATTGCAATTCAACGAGGAAATCGCAACTAGGAACGTGACGCCATATATTCATAAACAAATCAACTGTCAAACATTCGACATGAAGGTGGTTCCGTTCACTTGACTATAGTCACATCTGGGCTTTGTGTGCTCGATTAGAATCGATGCATTTAACTTTCAGATAGAGAAATTAGAGACAACTCCAGGAAAATGACAATAAAATATCAAATGTAAACTGAAAATGAAATAGATTTTTTGATACAATAGTCATTGGTCTAAGTCAGTTGAAATGGAATGCAAATGTTTTTTTTTTTGGTATTAGCTTTAGTCAACGAGCAAAAGAGCCGCACTAAATCAATTTGTTTTTTTGGAAAATTCGGAAATTTTGCGTGTTTATTAGCCGAACTGACCCAAATATCTTATCTAGTTTTATTAAAATCTCGGGATAAATTCCATTTCTGAAGAAAAAAATGAATCGTTTGCATAAATTATTCATGATGAAATGGCCCCACCACATAGAATATCCCATGCATTTTCAATGTTTTAAACTTCTATTCAAAATGTGATTATGCTTGTCTACGAAGTAAATAATAAGCATAAATTTTTCAATTGATGTATACAAATGGAATTGAATTAATCGTATTTTTGCGCCAATTATGTGACATTCCAGTTGACCGTACCGTTTCCACATTCAGTGCAATGCTGAGCATAAATAAACAGAGCATACCGATTTTTCGTTTCGGTTAAGTATATCTGGCATTTCATTGAGTAGAACATTTAAATTGACATCCAATGAAAGTGTGTGTTTTGTTGATGAACGAGCAAAATAAACAATACGTTTCTGTTATGTTATTGTTTAAATGTTTTTGGCATGAACTTCTGAAGTGTTGAGTTTTTTGTTTGGAAGCTGTAAGGAATTTGACAGAAACAGTGCATCAGAACATTTTGGAAGAAACCAGCAAAATGATTTGTTTGCTGTGCTACGAACCGAATGATGAGCTCATTGCGGTAAATGGAAAAAGTGGCAAACAACTAAACATTTCGAAGCTGCTGTATAAATATTTTCGCATCTATTTCGAGGTGATTATTTAAAAAAATGAGATTTTTTTTCCTCAAACAACTCAAGTGGAACACCAATTCGTGGATTGCAATTATTTACGCATCGAATACCAATTACTATTGACAAATGAAAATGGGAAATTAACTAATTGATTCTGTTTCCAGGGTGAACCAATCGATGGTGAGTTATGTGCTGAATGCTGGAAGAACATATTGGCATTCAATCAATTTTACATACACATTGAAACCATCCACGATTTGATCAATAAGACGAAGGAAAGTGTAACGGCCGAACCAGTTAAGATTGAATTTGACGAACACAATCTGAAAGATGAAGAGACATTTGGTGATGATGACTGGTCATTTCACAATGATTTAGATGAATCCGATCACGATTCCACTGGTAATTCATACGGTTTTATGCGCCAAGGTGCTATTGTCATTTACCATAACATTCTTTATACATTTACTACTAAGGTCCATTCACCATCAATGCCACATTACCAGATGATGCCATAAATTTACCCGAAATAAAGCAAGAAGCTAATAAAAAAGTGTCAGTCAAAAAAGAACCGAAAAAAGCGTCAAAATCGAAGTAAGCATGCTTAGGATGCATCTTAAGACTTTTTATTCTAGCTACAATTATTAGCAATAGTGAAAGAAGCCTACATTATCAGAAAAACTAATCAATTTCTCCTTTGCACTTCGTACAGAAAAACAGTACGTGGTCGACCAAAACCTCGATCCCTATTTACCTGCAAAATTCGCATGTGTCTCGAGGAATTTGACACTTTGGACGCATTGATATCGCACAAAACGAGCGCACACAGACGCATTCAGTGCACACATTGTCCAGATCTGAAGTTGGTTGTCGATTTAAATAAGCATTTGAAAAACACACATGGCATCCTACAAAACTCAATGTGCGAACATTGTGGACAGGTCTATACGAACACGAGAAACTTGCAGGTTCATTGATTTTTTTTTTTTTCAATTTATGGATTCAAGACATTTTTAATTCAATTTTCAAAAGTGTCTGTTCTCATCGTATCAAATCACAAAATCGTTTCAATTTCAGGACCACATTCAACGGAAACATGAGGTTAGTCAACCGCTCCAATGTGATATATGCAAGGAATGGTTTAAAAGTCGAGACACGATACGAGCACACATGAACTACGTTCACGTGCAAGGGCCGCAGGCATGTCAAATATGCGGTAAAGTTTCAGCCAATCGCAAAGCATTGCGAAAACATCAAACAATTCACATGGAATCGTGGAAAGATCGTTTCAAATGCATCATCTGTGGCAGAGGATTCCGTGACAGCACAAAACTTAAGGTAAAAAACACAAGCACGTTTTAATGCTTTTGTCAGTCCGATTTTTTCTTTACTAAAACCTTATTTGGTTTTGTAGGAACACTCTTACATCCATTCCGGTGTGACTGACGCTTATTTTTGTCAATTTTGTGGCCAATCATTTCGCTTTGGATCATCATTGTCAGCCCATCGAATGCGTTACCATCCAGCTGAAATGGCTCACGTTAAAGATCGCTTGCAGCGCAAAAAGAATCTTGAATTCAAGGTTTAAACGATTAACTTCATCTTTTTCCAAGTATTGATTCATAAGGCCATTTCATTTCTGTTGCCTCCTCTTTCGATGCAATACTTAATTTTTTCTTTTAAGTACACGAGACTGTGTTCATCGACGTTTTAACGGGAGAATTTCGTTGACAAAAATCTTCCAGAGTCGATAAAAAAAATGCATTTATTTATATATTTTTATTTTTTTTTTAGTCACATGACTTTGACACCTAACCTATTGGATGTATTGAATTAAAATTGCATTTTATTACTGAACATTTTAATCCATGACCGTTAATAAAAATGATATGATAGCTGGCGTATTGTGTTTTAAATGCAACAGTTAATAATTATTTCACGCCGAGCTATTTTTTGAGCCAGAACATTTTTTGCAGGGAAAAATTGTCATCAATTCAAACATTTGATTACACTTATTTGAGTCGTAAGTTACAAAATCCGGAATATACCAAGCAACCGTTGAGATCAGCTGTTTGAATCTAGCTGCTGCTATTTAATCAGCTGAACATCCGTTCTGTCTTCACACAAAATCTGTTTTTCGATCGAATCTTTTTTCCGAAATAGCACATGTCAGAGATTACCTATAATAGAAAGACAATTGAACTTAAAATTTTAAACAAACCAAAAATATTTTCTTCACATTAAAAAATTCGTACGGTTTACTAGTTAATTCATTATTCAAGCCTAAGTATTACTCCATCAAAGTATTTCTTCTACTCAGCTGCTGTCATATCAGCGGGGAAGGAAAGTCAAAACGATTTGTTATTAGTCTGTTGTTTTTTTTCTGCTCACAATTTGTGAAATCTGGACCATAAAAAATGTATTTTGTGGGAAAAATAAATTACCCAAAAAGAATATGATTATCACGAAGTCAACTTTAATCTAATCGTTGAAGACACTTTTTGCGTTTTTGTATTAGAACCATTCCATTTTGGACCAGAATATTCGAATATGGTTTGTTTGTTATGTTTTGAGTGCACTGGAGACCACATCTCCTTATCTAGTACGGAGGGTGATAAATCAAAGATATCATCCGTTTTGTTCAAGTATTTTCGATTCATGTTCGAGGTAAGAAGCATCAAATCATTGGCTTTATTTTTCATTAGATTCTCTGGTTTTAAAATCTGATTGTTTTCGTTTATATGTTTAGAATGAGCCCGCCGATGGTGAAATCTGTCGAAAATGTTGGATGAAAGTGGAAATGTTCCATTCATTTTATCAGCACATCGAAGAGATTCAAACGACAATGATAAAATTTGACCCGATAGTTGTTGAAAGTCTTAATATTGAGATGAAGCTCGAAGATGGATCGAGTGAGTATGGACAAAAGGATGAAATGACTGAATTGGACGATAGAACCGGATTTCTTACCGAAGACCACCATACAAAATTTGATTCCGACTTTGATGACAGCTACTGGCAGGGCGAATTCGATGACGATCAAGCTGAAACATCCACAAGTAATGCAATTTGGCAACGCCTTTGGTTCTTTTTGTTTTGGAAAATAATAAAAACTTATTTCAAATTATAGATTTCAAGGTGGATAATATTAAAATTGAAGAGGAAACCGATGCTAAAGTAAATGTAAAGTCTACTATGGTCAAGAAAAAGACAACGAAAAAACAACAAAAAAAGTATGCATTTTGATAAATAGCAGATTGAATATGGAATTTATTAGAAAAAAAAACATATTGAAATCCTTAAAATTAACTTGAAATTGATTTAATTCTCAGAAGAGGAGTAGTGTCAAAATCTGAGGCCCGTAGTACATCCAATTTATACACTTGTCCAATAAATCAAGCGAAATGCTTGAGAAAATTCGATACAAAAGACGAGCTCATTGCACACTGTGCCATGGACCATAGGCGATTCCACTGTACTCATTGTCCAAATGTGAGAGTGTTTGCCGATTTGTACAAGCATTTACGCGATGTACATGGCATTATCGAAAATGCCATTTGCGAGCACTGTGGCCAAATATTTGGATGTAATCGAACGTTACTTGAGCATATCCGGCGAAAGCACACAACCACTGATCCTGTTCAATGTGATATTTGCAAGGAATGGTTCAAAAGTCGAGAGACTATACGATCGCACATGATTTATGTTCATATTCAAGGTACATCTTTCTTATGCAAAAAGAAGCAACATGACTTTTTTGTTTTTTATTTCAAAAAATTTGGACGAAAAAGATTTTTTCAACAAATTCATAACGTTTTTTTTTTCTTCATTAGGTCCACAAACGTGTGGAATCTGTGGAAAAGTGTCGGCGAATCGAAAAGCATTACGAACACATCTTACAATTCATTCGGAAGCATGGAAAGACAAATACAAATGTGTCATTTGTGGCAAAGGTTTTCGCAGCAGTACAAAATTAAGAGAACATTCCTACATTCATAGCGGAAAAACCGATGCGTACATTTGCCAATTTTGTGGTAAATCGTTTCGTTTTAATTCATCCATTTCGGCACATCGCATGAAATATCACCCTGCCGAAATGGCCCATGTCAAAGAAAGACTGCAACGCAAAAGAAATATGGAATTTAAAGTTTAAAATTCGAATGAATCTTGAATTTTTTTTTCGGCCTACGTCCAAATTAGTTGAACCGTTTTAAATATTGCTTCAATATTTTTTGATGGAATCAAGAGATGATTTTTTCTTGAAAAATTTAAGAATTCCCTATTTATTTCCATTTGTATGTATATCAATAAAATTATAACATTTAAATCATTGATGAATTGAAATCTGTTTTAATTACATGTCAAAAAATGGAAATTATCTATTTAGATCAATGATTTTTCGAATGTGAACGAATTTGAGCCAACGAATGAATCAACAAGAGTAAAATTGGAAAACTATTGAAAATGGCATATGCGGTGTAAATACAGATGTGTATGAATTATGTGCTGCTTACTAAAGTTTTTTTTTAATTTGATATGTGAACCTGCAATACTATGATCTTGATCGGTCAGATAGGCTATATCGTAAGCCATAGCTTCGTTAAAGGACCTTAATGCGATGGCTAGTGTCATGTGCTGGCTGGTCCTCCTAACCAACAATCACCCAATGAACCACTTTTAGAGTACTTATTGTGGGGAAAGGTCCTGTCTTGCTATGGCATGTTCTGAAATAAATCGAAATGATCTTTTTTGATGAATTTCGTTGTTTTTAAGCAATTGGAATGACAGAATTCTTCGAAGTATCTTTCATTCATGACACATTGTTCGTTCGATACGTCTGAATGACCGATGGGTATCTCATTGGTCTCGTTACGATATTTGTGGTTTTTTTTGACGCGGTGTTCTTTCCATGACTAAGTACGAACACTATGGGAATACCACTTATAGAACACCGTTTATTCATAAAAAAAAAATAATTAAAAAAAGCCGAAAATTTTCAGGTTGAAGTTTTTTTTTATTGCATGTCCATGGGTATCAAATCGATTGAGCTTAGAATTTTTGGAAACGGAATGGGGTGTAAGCTGGTTTCACTGTGACTGGGATGACACGGGCAACATGGTGTTGTTCTTCATGGTATGGATGAGCTGCAATGTATTCGAGTGCACGGGCAATGGCTGCTGGCACTGTGTGGATGCAACAAAAATCAAATCGTTAGAAAAGTTGATCACGTTCTCATTAAGAATACATCCTGGATTTTATTCATCGTTTTTATATTCAATTGAATAGTCGAAAGACGATTTTTTTTTCGTCAAAAACGAACATAAAGCTGAAAACGATTATCAGTTAGAATTTTACCTGGTGGAGCGACTGGCAAATGTGAGCCGGTTGGTTGGAAACCATTTTCATCAGCAACATAAGTCATTTGAACTGGGGTACCGTCTGGCGAAGTGTAGCTGTAAAAAATGGATTCAGTAAATAAAATTGATAATGAAATCGTTAAATATCACTTGGTATGTCAATCATACCTGTATGATCCTTGAACGGTATGGGCAGCGAGTCCGCTTTCTTTAGCAGCGATTCCGTTACCAGTTTCGTATTCGTAATGGTATTGGCCATCTGGGCTAATATCGCTGCTTGATTTCAAGACTGGAGCGGTGGCTTCGCTGCCAGCATGGTGTACGACTGGTTGTGCGTGGTACACAGTTGGAGCATGGTAGGTAGTTGGTGCATGGTATGTTGTTGGTGTATAGGTCTTGAATGGCAACAAAGCAGCTGAAGCACAGCTTGCGATGGCTAAGCAAAGAATCTATCAATAGAATTTTTAAAGAAATCAATTAGAATTTATCACTGTAGTTCCAAACAAGATTTTCTTTGTTCACTTTTAGCTTTCAAAAAGATTCACATGAACCAACGGAAAAAAAACTAAATTCACTCAAAATCCAAAAGCAAATCCAAAAAGTTAATTTACCAAGAATTTCATTTTGCCAGTGGTTTTGAGATAAACTTCTTTACTGCACGTTTAAGCGGTAACTGATGCTGTATCAACACCATCAGCCATTATTTATACACAATTTCAAGCGGTCAAAAGTTCGGTTGAATCGCATAGGAGCGCGTAAATGACATCAAAAGCAAAACAAAGGCAATGAATCCGACGAATGAAAAGGAAAGCAAAACCAAATGAATGGTGGTGGTGGTGGTCGTATCGTCAAGTAAATGAATAGAAAATGGAATTAGCATTAGTCGAAAAAATATCATATTCCTGCTGATTGCCCAATGCCCATCATTCTTTATGCTAAACAGAGTACAGTAAAACTTCCCAATAGTGGAACCTCTGTTTAAGAGAAACCTCGAGTTAGTGGAAAAAAATTTCGGCCATTCCTTCAAAATGACCTCCAAATAAGGGAAATTTTTACCTCTGGATAAGGGAAAATGGCTCTTTTTGACCAATTCTTTCTTGCATAAAAATGCTATAAGAAGGTTTTTTTTTGCATTTTCACCAGCAAAACCAAATTGTCTGCATATGATTTACACGTGTTTTCATCCTACAGATTCTCTAAAATATTGATTGGACAATTTATTCTTCTTGTTTATGTATTGTAAATGCATGAGAATTACTTGAGATTCGTGAGCGAAGTAAATCAGCTGTGACTGAATCACACTTGAAAAAAATAAAATATGGAATTTGCAAACAGTAATTTGGTAAACAATACATCTTCCCTTATATTTCCATACAGGTTACTTGGCATTCGATTCTTTTGTGATTTTTTGCCATTTACTTGTAAAAACGAAAATAGTACTGTTTCGATCAATATTTCAGATAGGGCGATATATGCGTGGTTTGTACTTTCAATCTGTTGGATTTCATCAAATAAACGTACAATGAACACCTAATAAATGGAAAACACATTTTTAAAGCATTATAAGCTTCTTAATAGTGGAACCTCTATTTAAGAGAAACCTCGAGATAGTGTAAACGATTTTCGGCCGGAGCGAGTCCACTATTGGGAGGTTTTACTGTAATAGTTTTTATTTTGTTTCTAGCCGCTGCTGCCGTTGTCGTCGCTATCATAATGATGAGTCAAAAAAAATCTCAGTTGTGAATGCTCACTATTTCTGACCGCATGTTATGACATTTATAACGAGAAAAAATGTATTTTATAGCGTTCTTTGAATTTATTAGAAGATTTTGATTATGTAAATTTTCCAAGCCCATATTGAGTGACTCATGTGCCGATAAAAAATGAACACTTTTAATTTCTTCTGAGATATGCCATCAAAGACTTGATTTGAACCACGACGGACACTTTTTCCCGGAAATTGATCAGGATCTTAGGCTCTTATTTTTTTTCAATCTTTAAAGGAATAAAATGATGATTCAAATGTAGTGGCAGCGAGGGGCGAATCACTCTAAAGTAATTTGTAATAGAGAAAGTAATTTACGTGTGAAAATCTCGATTACTTTTGAAAAGTAATCGAGATTTTTACACGTAAATTACGTTCTCGATTACTTTCTCTATTACAAATTACTTTAGAGTGATTTGCCCCTCGAGTGGCAGACTTGAACGTCCTTCAAAAAATTTAATTGATTTCATTTTTTTTTGAATATGAGTGAAGGAAAAATCATTTGAAAATATTCAGCATATCGTCTGTGCTCGAGAATTTCCGTTAATGCAATCATTGTCGAGAATATTGAGAAAATGCTCCACGGTGAATTCCGAGCTGTTGCTCTGCCAGAAAAAAACCCATTGAATTCGATTTTCAATTTATACATATCGCAAAAAGAATTTGAGTGTGCGTGTGTGTTTAAAAGTACCGATTTTGATGTATTTCACAGTGTCTGTTGGTATGAATTACTACGGCAATAAACCTAAAAAAAATTAGTTCAGTACATATAGAGATGTGGAGTACAGTATCCGATTTCATGGAAAATTAAATGAAGGATTGATGTGGAATTTACTATGCATCAATACAGAAATGAAACAAATTCTGTAAAATTTTATTTTCTGATCATTCAGAGTGAATCGTGTGCCGAATAAATATGAGCACTTTTGTTTTCTATAGAGACGTTCGCCTAAGTTTGTCGTCGACGATAGGAATTTAGGCGCGAAAAAAACTTGATTCATTGATCTGAAATTCGATGGTTCTTTTCCAGGTGTTTTGTTCAACCATATATATATAATATCAAATTAATATATTCCAATGGCGGGATCATAGTTGAAACACATAAAGAGAGCAATAAACATATTTATCACATTTGAATATTTAAAATTTTTATGACCAATAAATTCAAAATATCGTTCGGTATTTGAATTTTTAAAGACGATCGCGAAAAATTAAAAAAAAAATGGATTCGACAACAAAAAACATAATCCGTGTGTTGTATGGGTGATTGTTGTAACTGTCGATGATTTCTTACGGACCACTTTGGCGAATTTCAACGTTAAAAGAAAAAAACGAAAAAAATGTTAACAATTCATTTGCTACTTACTGATTTTTTTCCAATCAAAAATTCTAATATGAAACACTTCCCATGAAGAGCGTGTGGGACGGTTTAGAAAAAAAACTGATCATGAATAAAGAAATGGCACCTTGAACTTTACTTTTAACCCATTAATTGCCGCTGGTCAGAAATCCGACCAGTCAATTTTTCGAATTGAGCCCATAACTTTTCATGAAAACATATTTTGGTATTGATTTGATAAGAAGGAGTTTTTTTTTTGAGTTTGTAGCTTTCATTATATGCCTTTTTACATTTAATTTAATAAAATGTTTAACTTGAAAACCCTGTCTGAAAAAAATCTTCAAATATGACTGGCAGTTAATGGGTTAAAATCATGTTCGTCATTATTTTTCCTTTTCAGTTCATGCATATGCCATATATGCTAATGTCCGAATTGGTATAGCGGATTTATGAACGTTTTTATAACTATATTTCATCCATTTCACTGGCCATGTTCAGCACATCGTAACCAATTGCTGTAACCGATCATAATTTGCATCACAATACAGTCAAAATGCTTGTACCAGGTGAATAGAACTAGAATTATTGAGCTTATAGAATAATTTTTTTATATTTTTCTTCATTATTATTGTCCCTTCATCCGAGAAAGTGATTTTTTATATCTGGTCAACAGATCGTCGCTACAGATATGTGCAATATCATTTACATATATGAAGAGTAAATTCCATAGTTAACATTTGAAATGTCTAGCCAAACAGATATGACTGAAATTCCATCGAATCAATAATTACTATGTTTATTCACTTTTAGCATTTAGCAAAATGAACTAAATACTCAAGACCGGGATTTCTAATACGTTTTCTGCTATGTGATTTTGAAAAAAAAGAAGCTTTTGATGTGTATGACTTCGTCCGGCAATAAGATCAAATATAGCAAAAAATGAGTCCAAAACGCAGAAGTCTGTGAGTCAAACTGTTAAATGGGAACTTCCATGGGAATGGAGGCCATTTAATGAATAAAACTGAAACAAATCACATTCGGCGCCCAAGATTAAGTTATTGAATTTTGATTTTGCGCGAAAAAAATTTCATTATAGCGACTTAGTCAAAGAATAGTATGCATTTTATGAAGATTGACCAGGAGTAATAACAATAGACAAACTGGAAATACGCTTTTTGGAATGACGACGAATTTTATTTCCATTTATTAATGGATTGATTCACATTTCGTATTACGGCATCGATGGGGCAGGGGCAGACAGAACATAACTTGGAATTAGGAAGTAAAATATTGCATTCTTCTCCAAATTCGATTACGAACGGATCAAAATAACAAAATTCATTTCATCCAAAAACAATTCATGTCACTTTTTTCTCCGTATGTCTTGCATTTTTGCAGCGTGAGACAATTCTATTTGCACTGGCCAACGACCAGAAAATATATCGCTTCTGTCAACGGCAAGAAATATATCGTTTTTGTTTACTTTTTTATTGAAAAAGAAACATATTTCTTTCGTTTGTTTTTTTTTCTGCTTTGATCGGAAGTCACAACTGTTTTGATTTTTGGCGGATGTTGACAAAGACAAATTGACCATTGTATGATAGCAATCAAAATGCCAATATCACCAAAGATGCAAACAAATCTAAAATTGAAAACGATATTGTTTTGAAACAAACAAAAAACGAGAAAAAGATGAAGATCCAATCGATTACCATAAAAGCAAATAATTTATTCATACCCGCCAGAGTGCAAATATTGAAGGCAACGAAAAAAAAATTATATTTAACAAATTTGACTTTTCAGAGAACAAAAAATAATCATGAAATAAATAAACTTGTTTTTTTTTTCGCAAAAGTTAATTTTCGAGACATTTTTTTCATCGAAAATGGAAATTAGCCGAATGCGACTACTGAGTGACATAGATATTTACCGGCTGTGTGGTCAATGCAACTTTGGCTGATCTTCCACAACCGAATTCAACAAAGAGAACAACCGAACTCAAAATCAAGCCATACTTAGCTCGTCTAATCAGCAGGTATGTAGGATGCGTGATTTTAACAGTACTAGGTCACTTTGTGCTTCAATTCTTAATTTAGAACATGAAATTCGTAATTCTCAAACTTTCAGGACTGTGCCGAAAAAACCCAAACCAATAGTTAGGCCACAGACGATGGTTGTAAGAGTTTAGTGATCATTATCTTAACTTTAATTCGGGTGTTGCTTTGATATCTGATGGTCAAAATCAAAACAAACATAATTGCGGTTTGCATATTCTTACCCAATTAAAAGCCAATGACTAATAATTTCTTAGTAAGAACTTAGGTAGCGTTCGAATAAAGTCTTCAGTTAAAACAAATTAAAAAAAAAACGAAAAATATCTGAACTTGGTTAGATTAGCAATTTTCAACCGTTTACGCTTCTATTTAACTGCTTGAGTTCAAACTGTTGGACAAAATATCAGAAGTGCCGGCTTAGTTGAACGTTTTTTTTCCTTAATACCAGTGGTATTACACGGCTGATTGCCGTTAATACCAGTGGTATTCAATCGCTTGACGTTAATTCCAATTAATATTTGAGATGCATAACTCAAATCTTGCGGATTGCTCGACAGAATGAGTTCAAATTCGACAAAAAAATACATATTGAATACCAAAATACCGGAAATGATTGCACAAAAAAGTCAACTGTTGAGCAAAAAAGAATTGATGCATCTATTGTTGATATATTGTCAAAAGTCATATAAATCATCTTCCGTTTCGTTCAACACATGGTTGCTGTTTTAATTTGTTTTTTCGTTAATCAAAAACACCTTTGTGAGCCAAATCCCATATAAATTTCAAATGAATTCATAAGTTGTATGAATTAGTTATCCGATTGGTCCATGCCATTTACACTTTTTGTTCCAAATCAATAACACGTTTGACTTGAGACAAAAACCGTCAGTTATTTTGTTTATTTTTTTCAATTTAAATTCAATTATGCATATAGTTTATTTGATGAAGATATCAGAGCGATGTGAGATTTGTGGCCCAGATGCATCAAAACAATCATCAAGTGTTGTTGATGACATTATCACCAGAAATCGATCCGATAAGATTCAATCTGAAAATTAATCTGCCACTAATTGCAATTAAATAACTCACCGTTTTTAGAAATCATCGACGATGAAAAGCAAAATGGGTGATTAAATACGATTCATGCTGTGCTACCAATTAGCTAGGCTACTTATGAATAATCTCGCAATTTAATTGTATTCATAATTCACACGGAGCCGGTTTTTAAAGCAACGCTAATGCCATCTGTTGAAATGGAAATGAAGCTCTCCATACATTCATCGGGTTTTGATTTTTGTTCCAATTCTAAAACGGTTTAAATGGATATATTCACCGATGTTTAGCAAACTACGTTTCAAATCGTTGACTTCAGAAATAAATAGAAGCTTGAGGCAACAAAAAAACTTGTGGTTCATAGCCAATACCTTATTTAGATGAGAACATCCGGTTCTCCATCAATTTTATGCTTTTGAGACATAAGGATGGGGGCATATATTAATTTTAAGCAGAAAAAAGACTTTTTTCTGGTAAATTATGGTCAACTTAGACGAAATGAATGACAAAAACAATGGGCTAAGACGAAAGCAACATAAAGCAGCATTCATAAATTCATATGCATCTGTAATAAATGATAATGCACTTGATTCCAGTTCAATGCATCAGTTTCGAAAGAAAAAAAAACGATCGTGTTTTGTTTATCAAATCATTGAAGAAAACACTCAAGTACAACTTAAAAAGAGAAAAATTCTATTTTTCGTCATCAACTGAAACAAGCTCGTGATTGTACTTCAAAATTTTTTATTTAAGATTCCATACTTAAAATATTATAAATACATTGAAGCTAAAGACTTACAATACTTATTTTTTATGCTTATAACTTAGAAAAAGTTGAATTCTTTTTAATCGTTAATTTTCGAATTTCATATTGTCTTTAGCTTCTCCGATTGAATTGTTGATCAAAAGTGAACAATAATGGTTGAATTGAATCAACTGCGTGTGTCGTTTTCAATTCGATTTCCCAAATGGAATTTTGCACATTTCATTTCATGTTGAAATCACAAAAAATTATGCGACAAAAGTAATATTGAACGATTAACTGGTATTGTTGTGTTTGTTTTGTAACTGGGAAAAAAATGGCAGAAGAAAAGAATGGCCAACAAAACGTAAAAAAAACATGATTAATAATTGGTCATCGTATCAAAACGAAGTGAAACAAAAAAAACACTAGTAAAGAAGAATTAAGAATGGAAAGGCTGCTGCTGGTCGAACAACGGTTCTAACAATGAGGTACTATTTTTTGTGATTTGTGTTGGTTTCCATAATTTCTCAATTATTTTATGCTAAACTTATCGACTGTGTTGTGAATGCATTATTTTGTGGTTTGATTGTTCAAAAAATATAACTCTCATCTTTAAATTGGTTAGACTAAATAACAAATCCCTGGCTATTGCATGTTCATTTTTTGTTTGTGTGCGTTTGAGTGTGTGTGTGTGTGTGGTTGGCTATTGAAAATAATCCATTTTATTGTTCTATTTCTGTATGGTGTAAATATGGGGCGCATTTTGTTTCTGTTTCAAATAGTTATTTATAACGGATTTTTCTGTTTAAATTATTATATAAGAGTTATTCTATGTAGTTTTGTCCTTTAAACACTTAAAATCTATTGTTTGTTTTTTATTGTTATTGTTGTTGCTGTTGTTTGTATGTTCTTGTTACCGGTATTATTTGAATATAATTATTTAACTGTGTTGACTATTGTAAAAAAGTTGTGTGTGTGTGTGTGTGTGTAAACCTGGCTATTGCAAATTTTCAGCTGATTTTGTGACAAATTTTGAATTGATTGAAATTTCCACCAGAATTTTGATTTAAATTGATGTGAATGATTCTTTTGGAACTTTTGCATAAAAATTAAACGAAATGGAAAAAAATTAATTCAAATTGATGCAAAAAGCATTAACTGAAAATGTAACATTCAAAAAATGTTCAATGAAAAGACAATTCATTTTTAAACGTAATCAAACAAAGAGATAAGGGGATCATTTTCTCTGGAAACATTCATTCAAGCTGATTGTTGTCAGTTGCATCGGTTGTTTCCAGGCGGAAATGACCCATTCATCACTCTTTGAACAATCCTTTCAAACCATTTAAATAAATGGTCATAACAATTGCTCTGGTTTTTTTTTTCTTCTTTTCTATCCGAATAAATTACGAATGTTTCGTACAAATGGCTCCACATCAGAGGTCCAGCGCACAAAATCAGCTTAATGTTGTGTGTGTGTATGTATGTAAACCCGTTCTATTGTACTGTGTAAATAATTTCAATATGGTTCATTTGAATTGTTTATACAAAAAAAAATATGGAAAACCTGCTGCAGAGATAGACAAAGACGTTTAATAAAAATTGTCTTGGTTCAGTCTCTCTTGTTTCTTCTCTGCTTTTTTGTTGTTGTTGTTGTTTCTCTATGATTGTTTGTATGTGTATAAAACCCGAAAAAAAACAGTGTAAATATTATATAAATATACCCGTTGAAGTCGATCCAATTTGGATGTCAGTCGATTTGAATGGATTGCAAATGAAGGCTACATGGCAGAGTGTATCTGTTTCCCTGTTCGACGGAAGTATACAAGCAATTTTTCTTTGGCTAGCCATTCAAATGAAATGCCACCAAACAGCATCGCATTCAATTAATCATAAAGAAAAAAAAAACAATCATCGACCAAGATGCGTATGATTGTGATGCGATAACAAGGCGGTTTAAATATTATGGATTATTCTTACTGTAACGGATGTAATAATATAAGATGAATTGAGTTGAACATAAACAAAATGGAGTTAACTGTTGAATGGAATCTGAGGCTATGATAAGGCTGCGTTACAATTAAATTATCTGTATCATCGCAGATTTCGAAATTTTGATGATTTTCTGTGTAGAAAAAAGAAAAGTTTTGTCGCGAAAAACGAAAATTCGTCGAGAGGGAAAATTTGTTCTTTTGAATGAATTGCAATCGATTTTGTGTGTTTTTTGTATCTCCTTTGCAACGAGCAAAAGACATATCTAACACCAATGGAACCAATGAACGTGGAAATAAACTATGAAATTAGGCAACGAAATCCAGTGGCCGATTGAAACCACCTTTGCGATTCATGTATTGTCGATACTTGCGTTTGAGAATAACGTGCACTTCACCGGCATCGTTGCCATCCACTTTTTTGCCTTTGGTTGTGTCGAATCCACAGAAGCCCATTGCTTTCATCATTTCCTGTTCTTCCGGTGATTTTCCCTCAAGATCCGCATCCGAAACAATGGGTCGATCGCCCGCAACTGCATTCGATCCGCTAGCACCACTGCTGCCGCCGGCATCATGGCCGCGCCGACCAGATCTCGACGATTTGGCTCGGTCTTTTTCATATGGCCGTGACCTAATTGAAGAAAAAAATAAAAGAGAAAAAGAAATAACTATTTTTATTTGTGGAATTGGCGTGAATAATGTTTTTGTGCGGAACGTACGTCACTGTTCGATCTTTATCTGTTCGTTCTCGGCTCCTGCTTCGGTCACGTCCACGCGGACTTCGTTCTCTTGACCGATGTGATCTGTCAGCCCTGTCACGTTCATCTCGTTCACCACCACCACGCACCTCACGATCTCTTGACCGTTTTCGTGCCCGAAACTCGCGCTCTCGCATCTTTTCACGACGCCGAGGTGAGGGTGATCGACCCATTATTCGTACACGTCTTTGTCTTAATTACAATTTACAATGGATGCAATTCAAAAATTGTTTCGATTTCGGTTTTGCTTCTTCTACCCCAACGCCACACACCAGAAATTGATACAGAAACTAAGAAAACTAAATGAAAAACTGTTCACGTACAGCAATTAATAAACATTTGGAATAATCAGCACCCAACAAAGCCGGTCGGCACAAAGCAACAGAGATAAGTGAAGAATATTCAATGGAAACGGCTAGAAAACAACACTCTCAAAGAAATTTCTAGGCAAGTTCAATAGCATCAAATTTTTTTAATGCAACAATATAGCTCTGAAACAGCTGTTAATCGTGTAGCCGCAACGATTGTATATCGTTCGATTCAAATGGTTTGTGCGGAGCAATTGAAATGATTCGGATAAATATAAAATATAGGATGGTTTGACCAATAACTTACAGTATTTAGAAATGCAGTTCACTCATAATTCACTGCTTTATTTATCGAAAAAAAATTAAAGCGCCACACACACGCGCTGCACCACACTCGTCTATCGATCCGAGCTGCTCGTATGCCAATACCAAAATGTCATTCTGTTGTTGCTCAAACTGTGCCGATGCACACGAACACAGATACATGGCCGCCATTTTTTTTGCTCCTATTCTGTTGCTCAAAAACAATCATCATAGCAAACCGGGTTGACATAGTCACATGCACGCATACACACACATAAATCGCGCGATGAATACGTTCAACGCAAAACCAAACTTTGGCTCGTTAGAATATTGATTTTTGAACTGGACCAACCGTTTGCAGTCAACAATGGACGAATCTATTTTCCAGAAATGAAATTAACAGTAAAATTTTGCTGTAAAATTTTGCTTTTTATCATGGAACCATTTTTGAGTCTCTATAAATCCAATTGGATTTGAATGGGACAATGTGTACAACTGTCGCCATCTAAGACAAATCGGTTTTTGAATAGGTGTAACGATGTGATGAGGTCGAATGCACGTATATTTTGAAGCTAAGAATACATTTATGATCTAATCTGACGGAACTAAATGCTGAAGAGAACATTGGTACTGCATACACATTCAACTTGAGCGCACAACACAAACACATCGAGACGCAAATACACGGGCACACACTCGCAAACCCATTCGTGCACGACGCAACAACGGCAAACGGAATGAGGTAATGAAAATCGAATGAGAGAATACGCCGCATCCTCGGTTTCATACTTCTCTTTCAGTGTATTCTCGCGTGCGTGCGTGTGTGCGTTTGTGTGTGTCAATCAGCAGCGTGTGTATATTTGGTCAATTTGATATTTTGTGCGATTGTATTGCGCCGATACAAAACCGTCAAACAAAATCCATATACTACTCCGCAGCAGCAGCAGCAGCAGCAGCTCACCACTGTTCATGTGCACATAAAATACACAATATATTCAGACAGAAAAGAGACGCCGAGTAAGTAGTCGTCGGCCATTTGAGACGAAGAAAAATACAGGAAAAAAAGAATCGAATCGAATGTACGGAGAGGTGACTCCAAGAAGAAAAATAGTTGTTAAAACAGTGTGAACGCGAGTAACAAAAAAAAAACAAAAGTAATTGACCAAATATCAATCACAATTGCGGAAATTAATCGTGGAATATTTCGTTGTACAATCAGTTTAAATTGAATGAGATTGAAGGAAGAAAAAAATATGAAATTTTTCTGCTGTTGAAAAATAAACCAACGAACGAACGGCCGAAGAAGCACACACAGAAAAAAAAAACTTTCAGTTTAGTTCATCGCATACTTTTTTGGTATACAGAAGAGACAGAAGAAAAAAAAATCTATTCTATCTCTCACACATACAAAGAGTCGCGCGCGCGGCTTCACGAACCGAAACACCGAAAATTCAAATCAATTTTCCATTTATTTTGTGGATTTTTTCGAAATTTCGCGGTTTCGCTGAACGAACGAACGAAAATTGCTTGAGTAAACGTTATATTTTATCCGTTGTGCATGCGGAAAACTCAACATACATCTTTTCAGAGTGAATTTAAACAAAAAAGTGCCGAAAACAAATGATTTTGTTTTTTTTTTCAACTAAGAATGCAATAAGAAAAACAGAAAATGCAAAGAGAATTGAACAGAAAAGACATATCATCTTCGATTTTTTTTTCTTCTTCGCTACTTTTTCTTCTTCTTCTTCTTTTGCTTCTTCATATGCGTGCAGTAAATGGCGAAAACAACAACAAGAATCGAGATAGTTGAAGAAGCGAAACGGATTGGAAAAAGTAATGAAACAGATAGAGCGCGCTTTAATATGATATATATTTACTTTTGGGAAGGCAAAGAGACAAAACGAATGAACGAAAAGAAAAAAAAAATGAAATAAAAACGAATGCCAAACAGTGATGGCAACGGGTAATGGCCACATAAGCATAGCGCAACAACAATCATATCCGTACAATTTTTTCCTCGGTTTGATACTCTTCTTTGAGTCATTCGTCAGTCGTTTTTTTTTTCGGTTCAATTTATGAAATGGTGGTGTAATCTTGGGCATTTTCCTGAAGTGCATTTCATTTTATGTGTGTATTTGTACACAATTGACAACATTCGTTGCCGTTTATTTAGAGCAAAAACCCGGTAGCCCTTCAAAATGGAAATACATTTTGTTTTTTGGTAGTCGCTTTGAACATGTTCTAAATAGCTGGCTACTTTGAGACTTTGCCAAGTAACATTTTCTCAGTTGACATGTTTTTCGACATACGTTTTTTGTTTCGGAATATCCATGCCTTTTTCTTCTGCTCGAATGGATAACTGCAACTGAATAAATTGACCAAACGTAAGAGGAAAAAAAAAGAAACGTTTCAAACGAAATTGAAATGCAATCGGACTAATGGGTGAACATGAAAGTGTAATATTGGGGGATTTTTTGAACCATTTTTTTCTCTCTAGTAAACAAACATGACGAAAGAGTGAGCGAAATAAAACTCGTATTACAGTTAGTGTTAAATTGCATTGAGTTTTTTGAAAGCCTAAAAGGATTTCATGGCATGACAAATTTCCATTTGAAAACAGAAAGAAATGATGAAAAAAAAAGAACCTGGTGAAAATTCAAGTAGACATGGAAAGCTAGCAGGAGAATTTGAAGGATCTTTTCTCTGCAGTGCACTGTTCGTTTTGCTCAGAAAAGATACGGCATGCCAGAGCTCTGTGTGTACAAATACATTCGAAGAGCGAAATGGTGAACGAATGAGAGCCCAACACACACGTTCACACGTCGCCGAGCAAGAACGCGAATTAGATTTGGTTGAATTTCATGGGCGTGTGCCTTTTTCTTCTCTCAATACTCAGTGTATACTACGAACCACCACTACCAACGAAACCATCGTTCGCTCATGTGGCGCTGTCACTTGAAACAATTGCGCGCCTGTATCGACTAGATATTGTAACAATATTACGCTTTTTTTTCTCTTCTTTTCGGATCGCTGTCTATCTCTCTTCGAGTGGAGATTCTGATTTGTTGTTGTTGTTGTCGACGTTTTTTCTCTGCTTTTCGCTCGAAATTTTTGCGTGCAAATCACTATGTTCGCTATTACGACATATCTACCATTCGATTCCATCTCGCACACCACATTCGTGCGTTTCGTTTTAATCAAGTTAGTTGAGTGCACACAGCACACTATTCTCGATGATGTGGATGCATGTTTTTCCTTTTACATTCTTCTCGCTTTCGCAAAGAAAAAAAAACAGCCCAATTCAAATTCGGTTTTATTGAGTCGAGCGAAGTTGTAAGAATCGCTGTACACAAAGAACGCTACGAAGAGAGAGAGAGAGAGAGAGAGAGAGAGAGAGAGAGAGAGAGAGAGAGGAAGAGAGAAGGAAAAGAACAAAAACGAACTGTTATGCAAAGTGAAAAGAAAATCAATAGACGAGCTGTAATTTGAAGAGGAAGAAAAGGCAACGAGACACATTGTAATTTGATCGAATATGAAATGTGAGGTGAGCATGGATTCAATTGTTGTCCACTGTATATGGATTTGAAAGGATTTTCTTCACCAAAGAAACTTAAAAACAATGGGACCTGAGATTGGAGCCTTAGAGTGTGTGTATGATTTCCCGAACACCACCAATCGCCACTGTCGCCGCCACAAATCATATGAAAAACGAAAGTCAGTTGGTGACTTTACATCTATTCCATTTGGTTACATGCAGGCTCAAACACTCACACACACACACATAGATGTTTTGTCATCTGTTCCAACAAATATTGCTCTAGCAACAATGAATCAACCAGCGATTCCAATGGACAACAGTCCGATCATGCGCACCATCGTTCACCCTCTGTTCCTATTACAATTAGATGAAAGTGTAAATTGTGGTGCTTCGCTGAAAACAGCCTGAAACGAAAATTGTGTGAAAAATTCGCTCTCAATATCAAAGTTTCTATCCATCATTCATCATAATTATCTTTTTCGTAAGCAAAGCACCAACGAGTTGTATACAAAAAGAAGAAGAAAAAAAACATTCACAACAATTCCTGGGTCCGCTTCTCATTCCATTTGTCTGATTCAACGAAATACGCGATTTCCAACACCAATTTTTGTCAAATAATTTAGTATTTGTTTGTTACTTTATTTTTCTTATTCAACAGTTGAGAGAATCGAAGGTGAAAAGAAAAGCATACAAGACCGTAATAAAAATAAGAATAGAGAGAGAGAGAGAGAGAGAAACAGGATTTTCGAGATTGCAGCGAGACGAAAAATAAATAAATATTAGTATTGCGAATTTATTTATCGGTTCGTGGTTTTTTCTGTTGTCAAAGTGTTTATTTTTGTGTGTGTTAACGAAATTGTGCGCATCGTCGATATATTCCTCTGTCTTTATATACCTGTGATTTAATGATTTATTGCTGAATCAACCACAACAACAACAACCAATTCAAAAAGGTGAGTCTTGCGATTTTTTTTCTTATGTTATTACTGCATTCGTCTTCCACACTTCTTTCGGTGTTGTTGACGATGTATGTTTTTTGTTGATCGCCCCTGTTATGTACGAATCTAGCGACGGTTCCTAAGTCAGCCCACGCAATTTGTTTGTTAACATTGTGGTTTCATCCAAAACTCCAGCCAAAATCACTTGATATGCATTCAAATGCTATTGAGCATGAAGCATACCGAGTTTTTTTTTTCTTTCGAAGACTTTTGTGTGGTTGCTTGATACAGTCGATCGTCTGTCAATTGCTGGAGAGAAGAAATAAAACTGCCATAAACAATGACTGAACATCAAATTGAAATTTGTTTGATAATTAAAGTGCATTTTCCACACACACACATACACATGCATACGGCCGACTCTTATGCAAGTAGCCAAATTGATGATGAGGCCTCAAAATCGACGTTGTATGCACCCGATCCGTACATAGGTACAGAAAATGGGTGTTTGAAGAGCGATATCTACAATTAAGAGAGAGAGCGAATAAGAAAAACAACAGAAAAAAATAACGCGACCGTGGTATAATATACGATATAAGTGAAGCGATGTTCGCACTTGCGGCATATTTTAAATGTGGCACTTCAGGCGTTGTTTAAGTTTATTCTCTCTTTTTATTTATTTTTTTATTCAATGTACGTGTGTGTGTATAGAATATATATGAAAAAATTTTAATGTTTTTTTCCGCGTCGTGGCCTGTGTGTGTTTGCCATACACTGAATATGTTCTGTGAGTTTCGAGAACCGGTAAATGTCGATTGTACAGCGTTTTGCTGCTAATGCATGTACACACATACACAAACACACAGACCGACACACACACACACACGCTCGCTTGCTCGCTCACATTACAAAACAAATGCACACGCTAAAACATTTACGAATTATCGTGGGGTCGTCGTTGTCGAATGTGTGTATGCGTGCGTTTTTATAAGATGAAGCCATTCTATAAATGAATATACAAAAAAAAACCACAACAAAACGATAATATTCAGTTTTATTTTGTTAAATAAAATTATCAAATGAAATTCACTGCAGATATACATGTGTATCAACTGCAAAGCCACTCTATCGATCGAGTCCCGATCCATTCCATTCCTTTTTAGATATTTTATGAGTGGCTATGAAAACGCAATAGAGAGAATGAGTAGAAGAAAGGAGAAAAACGCCGCGAACACAACTCGGCATATTCACGGGTTTCTTTTGACAAACCAAGCGCATTTCTTTTGTTTTGAAATATGATTCAAAATTGTTTACCCTGTTTTCCAGTTAGGTCGATACGTGTTGTTGCTGCTGCTTGTTTTTTTTTCTTCATTCGAAAAATTATTTCGATTATTTATGCCGCATAAAATATACATATCACACATTAAATACTATGCATATATGTACCGCGCGCGAGCAACACACACACACGCACTCCATACATGCATGTTCACGAAATGCACGCTGAAAATCTTTTTACTGAACGCTGGATTAAAAAAAAGGTCATTAATTTTATGTCTCTCATATTCATTTTGACAGCACAGTTTTGTATCCCCAATTTGTATATTGTACTGCATTCGGCTCTGTCTCGGAGTTTTGCGTTTGTATCGTGACGAAAACAGTAATTGGGTGTGTCGATCAGTTTTAATTACATTAAACATTCTCTTCGAGAGTTGTGTTGTGTGCGGTTGAGCACCGAGTTTCGGCTATTTCAGCTATTCTATCGTCTGTCGGATAGAATAATTTTCAATGGTCGTTTGTTTATTTGTTTTAAATATCAACCCAGCTCTAATATCTTCAACAAAAATGAATGAAGTCATTTCTTTTCTTCGTAATAAATTCACTCAATCCTTTCGAGATAAAATTCATTTATGATTTGAGATAAACCATTCCATTCAAATGCGATCGGACATGATCATAAGCATATTCTCTCTATATCCGCTATAATGACCGTTCGCCACTTGATATTATCGAAACGGATTTGATCTTATTCGTAATGAATCGTTGATATGAAATGAATCATTGTGTGCGAATCAGAATCTCATTGTTTCAATTGGAATTCATTCCAATTTGAATCTCCTTCAAATTTACGACTTAAATGGAAAAATCCGCTGAATCCGGCCACACTTGATGACCAAATGAAATTGAACTGCTGCACTTGAATACAATTCGGTCGGCCTCCGGGCGAATTTTCAATTGCATTTAAAATAACACTGTAGCAATTTCCTGTGTTACATTAATAACACTTTTTGACATGTACGTGCCCAACATTAACCGATCAACTCTTCCGGTTATTTTCTTATTCAACGATGATTTTCTTACGCGGTTTGTCGCAAATGGTCAATGTTTGCCGTCTTTAGTGTTTCATCGAATTGATCACTTCGATGTGGAATTTTATTTGATTTGCACAAAAATCGATAATTGACCAATTGCACCATGGTGGACCATAGAAAATGAGATGAGACCCAATCAAATGGTTTGCCATTTTGCCAATGAATTCGAAAGTGTGAGTATATAAATCGCAATCTTATGTAATTGTAGAGAGGCAGAAAAAAAGAGTGTAGCAGTAAATCTAATCACGAGGTGTCCATTGAAATCGTAATAGCAGCACAGTAGTGAAAATAAGTAGAGTGTAACGTTGAAACGAATTGGTGTCGGTGATGTTTATGACTTGGTTTTTTGTTTCGTTTGAAGCGGGAATTGAATTCGTTTGGCTTGCAACATGTTCAAAGGGAACAGCAAACCAATTCAATCATGCGTCTCTCAAGCCAATCATTCTATTGATCCAAACTATTCGACGAAAAAAAAAAAAACAATCGAAGAAGAAACAACTTTACTCATAGTCAAATTCAGAAGAAAAAGAAGAAAAAAAACGTTTCAATTGAATCAAACGTAGATAATTGAGTCGTTTTAATTATTTGATTACGTTTCCACATTTTTTTTCTTCTTCGTCTTCTGTTGATAAGAAAATAAATGATGATGAAGCAATTTACGCTACTAGGCTCCGTATATTTTGGACAATTGTCAACAGAGAGAAGAGAGACAGAGAAAGAAATTATATAAACAATTTATGCGCTTAAGGCAGCGCCCCATTGAACGAATATCATCGAAATCAAACACAGTGTGCACATTCCATTTTGGGCTCACTTGAGATTATGTGACAAGTGATCTTATCAACGTTAGCTCATTCAACAAAATTTGGTTCTCAGCACAGATACTAGATTGACTCATCAGCATTTTATTTTTTACTCGCTTATTCGGCATATTTGAGTTGTCAATGCAATTCCTCGAGCGCGCACACACACACACTGGGTAACAAAAATTTGGGTATACCATAACTCGAGGCAAGTGATGATGATCACCGAAAATAAAGGCATTCCAGTGTGGTAGGGTCGACGTTTTTAATTGCTATCATTATATGATTGTTTACAGCCATCAAAAATAAACTCGACAAATGTCCAAATATTTGATTGTTTCGCCGAATTGTTTGTGCGATGATCAGTAGTAATAAGGAACCGAAGAGAGAAAATAAAACTATATCGTTGATTGAAAACCTTGTTGATTTTCGTGTTTTCGTGACGATTTCGTACTCATTCAAAGCAATACGATAATAATAATGCAAAAAAAAAACTACAGAGGATATAATACATAGTATTTATTTTGTTCGGTGAGTTGCGTGTTGTTGTCAGCTATTCTTTCAGTCGTTCTTCTTCTTCGTCGTCGTCATGATTTGAATGTAGGTTTCTTTGCCTGCTACGTTTCGTTCCATTCCATTTGCAAATTTATTTTGTATGTTTTTTTTTCTCTTCTCTTCTGTTTGCTCGTGTGTCTACTTTGCGTGAAGAGTTTTTTTTTTGTCGAAGCGCGCACACTGACTGTGTGTGCGGCCGAGAGTGTATCAATGCGTTTGAATAGGAAATCACATGGCCTTTGTCCAACACACACTCAAACACACCGTTTGAACCGAGACAACGGAAAATGTGTGTAAATTCGATAGACACAGCGAGAGAGAGAGAGAGAGAGAGAGAGAGAGAGAGAGAGAGAGAGTGAGAGAGAGAGAGAGAGAGTGAGAGAGAGAGAGAGAGTGAGAGAGAGAGAGAGCTTTAGCCAAAGAAGCGAAGAACGAGCAGAAAAAAACACAACTAGTGAAGACGAATACACATAGAAGATACACATTAATACAAGCGCTACGTTTATCGGAATAATATTTTAGTGTTGCCTGTATGTAGAACAATGTTACAGTGCGAACAGTGATGATGTCATTTTGATGCGATTTTCGGTGTTGTTGTTGTTGTTGCCGCTTTTTTCTCTCTCTTCTTCAATACGTTGTTCGGTCACAAAACAAAACATACCTATGCGCTCTCGTGATGATCACTTCTTTTTTTTCGCTTCTGTTGTTGTTCCTGTGGGTCCAAATCAAAAATCTCCTTGTCTGAATTCAGCTTTTTTTTTTCCTCTTCGGCCGTTCATTTGTATGAAAACAAAGCCATGATGATGATGATTCGAACGAACGAACGAAAAAAGAAAAAAAGAAGAATTATATGTTATTCGCTTTGAAAATTGTTTCGAGCCAAAGTTATTAATAAGCTTACGCTTTTTAACGGCAAAAACTCATTTAATTTGAGTTTGATGAACATTTTTTTCTTTCTTCTGCTATTAACGCATTGAAATTGTTATTCAATATTAATATATACACGCACACACAGCGAGAGTTAAACATTTGAAACGCTTAAGCGAAAATCCATTGAAACCGAACTAGAATCCGAAATATTAAATATTGATTTATTTAGATTACTACGTAGAATGCTTTCCATGTGATTATTTTTCGCCCTGAAACCTCATGTTAATCATTCATATCTGTGTTTTAATTCACTTGAAAATTGAAGCCAAATGCTGATTTTTACGAGAGAAAAAAAGAAGCAAAAAAAACTCAAATCAGCGGACCAACAAGCGCATTTCGGTTTCTATTTTTACAA